TATTCAATATATTTCTTACTGTCAACAAATCCCATGAAAACAGCCGCTTCAACAATGTTAGTGCATCTCTCACTGCTGAGCTTGGAAGTCAGGGCAATATTTTCCAACTCAAATAAATTCAACTGCATTGAATTGAAAATAAATTTCAATAAATAAGTTTCTCTTTTTCCCAACTTATTATTAAACTTATTTGTAACAGTTCCAGTTTTTTAACAGCTGTAACACCTGCTTTTCTCTTTCTTTCTTTCCCACCCTTACTTTTCTTGTTCAGTGAGCGACGTTAGCTATAACTTGTCATGTCAGGGCTGTAATTGAGTAGTGTTGTTTCACATTGCTGCTTTTAATGAGATTACTGTTTTTGAACTGCCCATCCAAAAAATTAACCATGTATGTCTGTTCAGTCATGATTAAAAATTCTTGTTTTCACTTTATACTTTTCCTTCTATTTTTCCAACTTTTCTCTTTCCGTTCAGAATGCTTCACGGATTTGATTAGAATCAAATGAGATGATTTACAATGAAACCAGTTGGTTTATGGGGTTTCCTGGGCTTCTGAACCAGAGCTGTAATGGCTGGAAAAGCTGTGTGAGGCAAAGAGCGCTGTCCAGATCTTTTCGGCGCCATTTAGATTCAACTTAAATAACAAATAAACTGCAAATTCCCTGATTTAGTTGGCAGCACTATCTGTAAAATGCTCATCTGCACACACAGCTCTATCTCTCTCATAGGGGATGAGGGATGGCTGAGAGGGGATGGCAGACTTATTAAAGGGGATGTCCTCCCCCTTCATCCATCTAGAAATCAGCTACTGAATATAACCAAAGTACACGTATATGTACTTTATGTGACACGATACATGTTTTTGTGTGCGTAGCTTGATGTGTTAGACGAGGTGGTAAAGGCTGTGCAGGGTCGCTGCGATGTCTACATGGATGGAGGAGTGAGGCGCGGGACAGACATCCTTAAGGCCTTAGCACTGGGAGCAAAGGCCGTCTTCATTGGTCGACCAGTGCTGTGGGGCCTCGCTTGTCAGGTGAAGCACTCATCTACTGACTCATTAGCCTCAATCAGGAGGGGGTCCGAGGCCCTGTTCAGACCTCTTATTAACATCTGTCCTGAGAGAGTTTGTCATCTCAGACCTGGTGTGATGTCTCCACATGCATCTTCAGTGACCGCTCGCGATCAGATCTCTATGCAAATTAACATGTATGTCATTGTTTTTCACATTAACCAAAAGGTGATGTATTTTAACCACGTGGAATATACAGACATGGTCCGTGTATGTGTATATATATGTTGGTGAGAGACAGGAGGCAGGAGGGCTCAACACTGCACCTAGCTTTACGATGAAATTCAGATTTACTTATTTGAAAGGACGGAAAATCAGTGGTGGTCATTGTTGTGAGATAGTTCAGCTCGAGGGTCAAAAAAGTGGAAGGCAGGCAATATTAGTTATGTTTCAAATGATGTCCTTTTGAAAGAGCAATTAGGTGATTTGAATGATCTTATTAAATTAAGGTTAGAAGATTGTGTTTGCAGGAAAAATACTGTGCCGAGAGGAGAGGAGAGGTGAAGCTGTGTTGCCAGCAGTATGTGCCTTTTGTTTGAGTTTAATTGTCTTATCTTTGGCGAGCACACTAAATAAAACTACTCACAGCACGAGGTCTGCTGAGTCTTCCTGCCTACCATCCTTTTTTGACTATCCCACATCTATTAATGAATTTCTTCAAATGGCCCCTCATAGAAAAAGGGCTGCCCATAGATGCGCTGTATGAATGTGTGTGTGAATGGGTGGATAACTCTACTGTAAAGTGCTTTAAGTGGCCATCAAGACTATAAAAGTGCTGTTTACAGAGCATTTGTCATTAATTAAGCAGTGACCACAGATAAGTCAAGTTATAGGAAACACTGTGGGGACTGTAAAAAATACTTTGGTTCATTGTGAAACTGCATTTACACCTGTACTTAGACCACTTGAGCTTGGTCCTCTTAGAATGGATGTTAATACCTGGTCTGAACAGAGCCTTACTAGCAAAAATGATTTGAATTAGTTCTTGTATTTGAGTGTCCAAACTGAAAAATTACATTTGCTTTTGGAAATTCCTTATCAATGGATTTCAACCCTAATTATTTGGACTTCAAATTTTGGTCATAAACATGATAAACAACAAATGCCAAAGTTGGCTCCAAAAGAAAAATTGTAACAATAAAAAAACTCTATCTACATATACTTTACAAAATGACACTCTAGGATTAACATGTTAATTGTGCATGTGTGGGTCTGTGAATTTGTGCCTAGGGGGAAAAGGGAGTGACTGAGGTCCTTGAACTTCTAAAGGAGGAGCTGCGACTTGCTATGGCACTGTCAGGTAACACACACACACACACACACACACACACACACACACACACACACACACACACACACACACACACACACACACACACACACACACANACACACACACACACACACACACACACACACACACACACACACACAGACACACACCCAACAAGTCTTAAACTGACCTGTAACAAAGTGCCTGTCTGTCTGTGCGTGTGTGTGTAGGTTGTCGCTCTGTATCTGAGGTGAGCAGGTCCCTGGTCAGGAGACAGGATTTTACCTCCAGGATGTGAAAGAAGAATCTATGGTTGGACTTACAGGACGAAGCATCATAGGAACAGGTTTTCACTTTGACCTGTTCCTATGATAATATCCGGGGTGGTGTCATGTTAAGTTGTGAACTTCATGAAACCTTACCTACTTCATCTGTCCCTTTAGAGAAACAGAAGGTCCTTATTAAAAATGATGTTTGATGTGACTAATGAGCTTTGCAGTGTATTTAATGATATTGTTCTCATTCTCTTTCATCTTATACCACCACTACTACTATTACTAGTACTACTACTACTACTACTACTACTACTCCCTAAAAATACTAGAACATTTCTAGTTCGTTTCATCTAAATTATATGAACTGTAGTTTTCTTTACCTCAGAAAAGGCCCTTTATATTTAAATACTTTATATTTACATGGAGGGGACCCTCTCTACGGAGGCCACCATGTTTATTACATTAGTCCAGACTGAACAAACTAAACACCTTTTGAGTTTTTATGACAACTGAAGCTACCACAGGTTCTTTTTCATGTTTGGAAGGAGAGGGTGAGGTGAGGGGTGTTCAGCTGCAACATGACACTTCAACACTAGATGTCACTAAATTATCACTAAATAAACTGTACCTTTAAATAACAATATGAGATGAAATGGCAACACCATAAATACTTTAACTCCTGAAGCACTGTCTGGTTGAGAGGCCCAATATAAATTTGAGTTACATGAAATTGTGATGACGAGATTTGTATTCCTGAACAAATAATAATAATACACACACAGGAATTACTAGAAGTACAGAGCGTTGGATGGGATAAGATGATGTTTGATGTGAGATTTGAACAAGGCAAAAGAGTATGTTTGTGTTGTCTGTTAATAATTCTATCAATTACCAAACCAGCCAACAACTGATGAATAATTACTTACTAATACATACAATACATTATACAAATAGGAGTTCAATCTGGGAGGGTGACAGCAACATCATGGAATTTAGTGAGGAAGAAAAAGGAGGGAAGTGAGTGGGGAGAGGTGGCAGGAGGTGGTTAAACCATTAAGCCATGTAGGAGAAAAAAGGAGCTAGTGCAAGTTGAACTGACAGTGAGAGGAGAGAGAAAAGGAACCGAAGGCAGATTTGCATAATCTAGTGGTGAGATTTGATGGAGAGACAAGCAATTTAATGAAGCTAATAAAACTCATTACATTTAATAGGATGCCACTCAAAAATGGAGAAGAAAATGATAAGTGTTGGAAAATCAAAGTAGCCAAAGTAGGGGCTAAGAATAATTTACCTCCTGCACCGATAACTTCTGGAAGACCTCTCAGTCACTATTCATTTTTCAGTTGAAAAGACTAAAGTAGTGTTCTTCACAGGGAAAGGATTAGAGGAAATACTCTGAAGCTTTATGGAAACAATCGAGGGATGGTTGAATCATTTAGATTCTTAGGAGTATCTCTCTCATCTCAATTAAACTTTCAGAATCAAAGGGAATGGGTATTGCATGGAAGGAAACGTATGAAGAGTGGCAGCAGCACTGGGATCATAGATATTAGGGAGACATATCTATCCCATGCCATATAAAGTGGGTATTGGGGGAAACAGGGAGGAAACAGGAGAGCGGATGTGTTAATGACTAGACTCAGCAGCCAGAATGGGACGCTCCACGTCATAGGGAAACATCCAACAGGCCTCTGTGAACACTGTCAGGTACAGAATCAGAAGTACTTTATAAATCCCCGTAGGAAAATTCAAACGTTACAGAGCCCCTGAGAAAGAGGTGAAAGAGCAAAAGCAGGTATAAACATAGCAATATAAAAATCAGGTAAGGCTGAAAGAAATAAAAGATAAACATATGGAGAAATAAAGACCGGGTATGTATAGATTTACATTTGTGCATGAGAACCAGCAGCCGTAGAGCATCTAGTCAAGTCAAGTCAACTTTATGATCAATAATGCCATATGTGCAGGACATACAGAGAATTGAAATAGTGTTTCCCTCTTATCCCTGGTGCAAACAGCATTCAACATGAAATATAAAATATCAAAAATAGAAGTCATTCAAAGATATAAACAGGCAGTGGCAAATCTAGACCATATCAAGAGTATACATATGGCAGATATGGTGGGATGAACAGAATGACAGTATAAATATAAATATGGCAGATAAAAACCGGATTAAGAGTATAATTAAGAGTATAACTACTACTCAATTGCAGGATATTAACACCACAAATGAAGGACATGGAAACAGCAGGACTGACAGGATCATGTTTAAAGACAGCAAACATCCTTCTGAAGAGAACAGGACTGGTAACAAAAATCTGAGAGGACAAACCGGACTCTGCAGGAGGTCACTAACTTCAGAGGATGGCAGTGGTGCAGCTCCAAGCATATTAAACCCCAATGACGAAGATCTGACAGCAGGGCGGAACAGAAGTCACATCTCAACTGTTGCAGCCCGGACGCATTGGGGGAGCGCGCTATTTTTGAGCGACCAGCAACTCCCATGGACGTATAGAGACAGCTGAGCGGGGGGAGCGGAGCCCGGTGCACCTGTCACTGTCACGGGGCATATCCAGGGAAAGGCTGCCGATGAGCGGGAGGAGGCCGGTCTGCACCGAGGTCGCAGCTCCGCAGGTAGCGTTCTCTGGTCTCTGTCAACCCACAAGCACGAAGTGTGAGGTTCGAGTCTTTATTAATGAAAGTGTCGACGCTGTTGTCGAGCGGGGCACGATCGGGGGGGGGGGGGGGGGGGGGGGGGGATGCTGCTCCACAGCAATGGCTTTTTAAACAGGACGTCATCTGTCTAATGGAATGTCAATTTGGCAACAAAATACAAATGCCCGGTCAGTAAAGATAGAGACAGACTAACGAGGCCAGTGGCCCGGGGACCTGTTCCAGAGGCAGCTTCAGTCAGAACGCTGCAGTTCGCTCACACCGAGTCGGTTACTATTGATGAACCCATCATGTTATCTTTGTTGTCTCCTGCTCTGAAATCGAGTTTGACAACTCAGCTTGACAGTCCACCCACATGTCAGGTTTACAGTCCTGCTCTCTGAAGCAGGCCCCAGGCGAACAGTCAGAATTCACTGTGTGTGTTTTTGTAAGATGGACTTCATGAAACCTTACCTACTTCATCTGTCCCTTCAGAGAAACCGTATTAAAAATGATGTTTGATGTGACTGATGAGCTTTGCAGTGTATTTAATGATATTGTTCTCATTCTCTTTCATCTTATACCACCACTACTACTACTACTACTACTAATACTACTACTACTCCCTAAAAATATACAGCACCAACTTCGTATGGGCTACAGGCCCATGTGGTGATAGGAGAAATTGTACTATTAAAGGTCCAGTGTGTAAGATTTAGGTGAAAGGGATCTATTGGCAGAAATTGAATGTAGAATAATCCTCATGATGTTTTCACTAGTTCGTTTCATCTAAATTGTATGAATTGTAGTTTTCTTTACCCCAGAAAAGACCCTTTATATTTAAATACTTTATATTTACATCAAGGGGACTCTCTCTACGGAGGCTGCCATGTTTTTTACATTAGTCCAGACTGGACAAACTAAACACCTTTTGAGTTTTTATGACAATTCTTGGCTTGTTCGTTTATTTTTCTTGGAATATGTTTGACTCATTCATAAGTCTTAGAACAGCGGTTTGGCATTAATATATCTGTCACAAGTAGCTGTGCCAAAGAGGTCATGTTTTCATCATGTTTGTTGTGGAATTTAAATGTGGTTTCACTGGGGGAGATTTGGCATAACAAAATCCAAACGAACTGTAAGTTGTTAGTTGCTATATGGTCAATATAGGCATCAGGTCTTGACAAGGAAGAGGCAAGCATACAGATAAAAGTGTTACGGTGTTATTTATGTATTTTGTTATAAATAAGGTTGCTCGACTTGTAATGATGTGTATTAACTCACTGATTCTTGAGATGTGGGACAATACATTTGAACTAGGCAGTTGAAACTATAGGTTTAAAATTGAAAATATTTTCAAATGTAGATGTAATGTGGGATTAATGATAGAATCTAAAACAGCATGCCCACGGAGAAGGGCTCAATCAATCATGTGCAATAAAATGGATACAAATATTTTTCATAAAAAGAAAAACGTAATATCTTATATCAGAGCAAAGTTGATTTTCACTGACACGCATATTTCATAAGGTTTCGAAACAATCAACACTGTCAGACATTCATTAAAATATAATAAAATCAGGCGATATTAGGGGCAGCAGTCACTCTGAAGGATCCATTTTCACATTCCACCTTTGTGCACCCATGGCAGACAGGATCCAATCATTTTTATATTTTTAAAGTATTTTAAATCCAATTGTAATATTTCCTGTGTCACAACAATAGGCTGTATATAGAAAGGTCACAACGTGATATGTCAATGCTGTCTTCCAATTTCTCAGGATATTGTTTGGCTTGTATTAGATGATTTTATTCTCCTGACACATGTTAGCATCTAGCATCAAGCTGAAAAGAACATGGCTGCTACATTAACTCCATTTGTTCTGTGAACTAAATGCCTGTGTATGTCACCGGCATCAGATGTCAACTCCGTCAGATTTTCTGTCTGGCGGTGGTGACGTGCAAATTACAGAGTTGACATTCAATAGGAAGACCTCATTTGTTATGTTTTGAGTCATTTCAATCAAATATAGAATAGATAATAGTCTAATTATATTTTAATACTAAATATGTGGCATCACCATTTTCCGCTTTTTTTTAATCTCTTCTGTGAATTGATAGTCATCCACTCTATCAGGGTTTAGTTGAGGGAACATAGTGCTTAAACACACATAAAGGTGAAGGTACATAGGCAGGAAAATATAGTTAATGGGGCAGCTGTGGCTGAGCGATAGAGCGGCCATCCTCCCACCAGAAGGTCGGCAGCTCGATCCCAGTCTTCCCTATCTGCATGCTGAAGAGTCCTTGGGCAAATATGCTGAACCCTGAATTGCCCCTCATAGAAAGAATGTGCTGCTAAAAGATGCACTGTATGAATGTGTGAATGGCACACTGTACTGTAAAGCGCTTCGAGTGGTCATCAAGACCAGAAAAGCTCTTTATAAATACATACATCTGTCACCGGAGGAACGTGGAGAGAGGAAGAGAGAGTATCCAAAAAGCAGAGAGAAACTCAGTTCACAGCCAGAATTAAAAGAAGAATTTCTAAGACAGGAGAGACAGACATGCAGAGGAGGACAAATAAAGCACATGAAGGATTGGACTGAAAGAGAACAGAGTAAAAGGAAAAAGAATTGGAAGCATAGCCAGTACTGGCTGCTGAACAAAGTGAGGCAATTTGGTCTGACATCCTAAACACTGAGGCCAAAATAATCAAACTGAAATACACACTTACACATGAATAAAATATTTAGAAGCAACCTGTTCCTTTTTGTTTGTTTTAATGCTGTAAATGATTGATTCAATGTGTGGGTCAACTCCGTCAGGTCTATGCCACCTCTGTCAGATGAATATTTTGATAATATTTCATATAGATTCGTTTTGGATTGTATTTCATATGTGAAAATATAATGTCTGCTAACATGATAAGTGTTTTTAAATTCTATTATACAGTCCAATAAAAAAACATTACACTACAAAAGATTATGTATATAAAGTTATTTTGTTTAAAGGGCTCTGTAAGCCTTGGTGAGATTTTATTTTTGTTAGAGTTTTTTATAAGTCTAGCATAATGCGAGTGAAAATTAATTTGTGTTATTGGAGAAAAGTTGGGAGGTTGTATCAAAGCAAAGCTCAGTAGCGTAGTACATGGTGGATACATGGTGTAATTTGTCTGAGCTTTGTTTTATTTAATATTGGATCTCAAGAATCAGTGAACTAAGCTTTGTTTGCCCTGTCTCCCAAGGTACTCAGAAGCAGATACTGTAGATGGGGGTGCTCTTCTACTCTGACCACGAATGATCCGCCATGGACCAGATCACTTTCCATCATGATACCGTGCTGTCGGACGTTCACATGCTCCTGCCCAATGCACACCGCCTTATGACACGCCTCAACCATGTTGGGCAGCCTGGTTTGTATAACATATTCACGCTTGTGCTACATTGTCTTATGCATTTGTGATAGATAAGTTACACATTTTATTCTGACCCCATGTCCAGGAAACTGGAAAATGGTTCATTATTTCTTATGTTGAGTGCACTAAATGATTCAATAGTTAAGGTAATAACCAACAGATTCAGTAACAAAAGACCGACAGCATCATCCTAGTGCTTAGCTGAACTTTCCAACTGTTTCCATCTGTCCAGTCTTCATCTGCAACTTCAAGGTCTTGTGGGATGATGAGAGGCTTGACCCAGGGAAACGTTTAGAGGAGGAAAAATGCGATCACCCAAGGGAAGCCTGGGAAAAGGACACAAATGCCACCAAAGAAAAGGCTGGAGAGGAAGTTGGGGAAGAAAACGTGGAACCGTGTTTAGATGAGGATGGAGACCTTGACATCACACATGGGTATGGAAAAAAAAATTCTTTTCATGCAATGACTGGAAAATCTTTCAAATACATGCCAGAAGCCTCAGTTAATGTTCACATCAAACGCCAGCATGGGGACAAAAATGGTAGTCATGTTTTCTGTGAAAATGCTAGTCTCTACGTTTAACAGCATCCAGTTAGCAGCTGTGGACAGGAACACCTTGTTCATGACAGGGGTCAGAGGAGAGTGGTCAGTCTGGTTGGAGGTGACAGAAAGGCTACGGTAACTCAGATGGCCGACATCCCAGAATGCACAACACATCCAACCCTGAGGTGGATGGTCTACATCAGTCAGGGCCCATGTCAGGGTTCCACTCCCGTCAGCCTAAAACACCATTCTGAGGCTACTATTGACACAGATCCAGCAACACTGGACAGCTGAACATGACAATGACTCACCCATGAGAAAGGGCAGTGTATGCAGGCAGAGACTTTGTCATCTTAGATTATATGAGGATAGTCAGTACCATAGTTAGGTAATCCAGTGCAGAATCCTGCCTATAAACTTGATAAGCAATAACAGGTTTGGTTTATATATAGAATATATAGAATTGCTTAAGTGCTATCATTGCTGATTGATTATGTTGGTCGAGTGGGTGGGAACGTATAGCACACGTAGGGAAGGGGGCTCAACACACAGTCCTATGGGGCTCTGGTGCTAAGTGTGAGGGAAGAAGAGATGTGGGGGCCTAATCCATCTGGGGGCAGAACGGATCAGACTTTTTGCAAAAATAACCATATAGGTTGCTATGAACGGCCTAAAACAACTTGTTAGTAAGAGGGAAATGGTTTCAGGTATCTACAAACTTCTACTCTCCTCCAATAGCAACATTCAGACCAGTTGTTGTAACTTCAATAATTGGCTAGAGGATTTTCTGTAACTTCATTTTGGATGTCGCTGCATCGTGCCTGGTGTATTCATATAGAAGTGGTGATGGTGTGTGGGTCACAACAAGGTCTTTTATGTATTCATAAACCACGACTAATTATACATTCTGCATTTGCATTGAATTATTGTAAATCAAATTCGTCTCAATCCTTAAAAAATCTGAAGAAGATTTTTCAGATTATTGTTCCAACAATATCTTAACAGTAGATGCACCAAAATGGCTGTGATACTATCAGAGGTTACTTAACATGAACGAATGGTGTTGTTCCTTTAAGCAATCACAGACCTGCAAAGGTGTTTCATGTCGTTCATGTTCAAGCTATGTGTTGTATGTATGGGATATCGGTTAGGTCTATAAAAAAGACAAGTATAATTTTTGGTTGATGGTGTTGCTGCTTACATTTCTTATTATTCCTATCGTTCCCCAGGCCGAGGAAATACCCTGCCGAGAGTAGAGACCGAGACTTGGTCTGCCCCATCATTCTCAAACAATCCAGCCCGCCACCAGAACAAGAAGAGGAAACTACTGATGATGACGCTTATAAATGCTCCAAAGACATCATAAGGATTGGTGAGGTCAATTTGTCAGTGACCTGTTTGACTGTTAAACAGGAATTCATATGATCACAGAAGGTTCTGTTCAGTTAGAAAGATAAAAGCTTTAATGTAGGACCCTTAAGACAACCCAGGAATTAAGTGTTCGATCATGTGAAAGGCAGCGCTCGAATGTAAAACCACTACGGCACTAGGGACCACTAGGATCGTTTAGAACTGTCATGTGTGCTGTGTCTGTGCTGTGGTAAGCTCTACAACTAAAACCTATTAAAGACATCGTAATGATTCATTATTTTATTTAAAATAACCCTCTTTAGTCTCTTGGATATAAAACAAATCATTTAGAACTTGTTATTGTTATTGATTCAAAGAATAAAATAGATAAAACCCTGGAAATATTTTTATTTTAGTGCTGAGGTGTTAATGATTTGAAATTGGGAAAGTGAAGACAGATTATTGTTGGAGGTGAGAAGATTTCAGCTATTAGGTGAGGCTCAGGATCAAATGCTCTATATTTTCCTGATGAAAAGAAAAATAAATCTCTGTGACAGTCGCTTTTGGATGTAAGAACAGATGGTAAATAAAAATGAATAGAAAGAAGATGTCTCTCTCTGTTGGAACTGACAACACAGTTGACTTGTGGTTGTGCAATGGAGTTCCAAATGCAAATAAAATGCTCACAATATAGAGTCCTGATTACAGTTTGCACACACTTCTGCACAGTTACACAGTAAAGGGGAATATCAAAATCAGAAAGGTGAAAGCTGATTCAAGGGTAGTTTGCCAAGCAGCTTGTTATTATCAGTCACCTGTCAGATTCCTGTTTTTTTCCTCCGTGCACATTTACAAAAGTCAAAAACATAAACATGCTGCTCTCCCCTCTGCATGACGAGCCCTCCACTTTGGAGGGCAACAAAAGGTGAGTAGCTTCAGCTGGAAAGTCAAACTAGCTCCTTAGACAATAACCTGCTGTGCCCACTCATGGGTGGGAAATTATTAGATGATGAATGCAAACATCTGATTCTGTAACGCTGTTCTGAGATCAGATGTAACAAGAGCCTCCACTTCTGTGTTGTTAGATTGATGTATACACACTGATGCTACCGCGGCTGCAAAATGTGCTTTACCTTTGGCGTGTTATAATGTTGGTGGTATTTCTTTTTTTAGGCCATATATAATACTGCATGTTCCTCTCAAACTTGAATTGTTAAAGTTTTTTCCTTTTCTAGAGTAAAGAAAACTACAGTTCATACAATTTAGATGAAACAAACTAGAGAAAACATCATGAGGATTATTCTACATTAAATGTCTGCCAATCGTTCCCTATTAAATAATCAGTGATTTCAAAAGCACCATCCAATGAATGAATCCAATCTTTTCACAGAGCACACTATGGCCACACCCCTGGAAGATGTTGGCAAGCAGGTCAGTAAAAATTACTCCACTCATTTTTTTGTCTGTTGCTCCTCACAGTTTCAAATCTTTTACCACATAACATCCACTCGTCCCTCTGCCAGTAAATGATAGAAGAGTAGTTTTGGTGGAAAACCTTAACTATGCCATTAATGAATGAATTGTGTCAGTGGTCATTGATCTCAGTGAGGCAGTAAATGACGATGTATTGTTTATCTCATCAGGTTTGGCGAGGGGCGTTCCTTTTGGCTGACTTCATCCTCTCTCAGGCACTCATGTTTAAAGGACAAACCGTCCTAGAGCTGGGAGCGGGAATGGGGTTAACCAGTGTTGTCATGGCAACCACAGCCAAAACAGTGTACTGCACAGGTATGATGCCGTCGAGCAGAAGTCTAAATTCACGCTCATCAACCCCTGAATGTCTGAATATCTCAAACTTGAATTCAACAATTGATAGTTCTGTGAACACAACTGAATAGAATGGAAAAATCACAAGGTCAGGTCAACTTATTGCTTTTCCTGATTTTTCAACAGCATTTCAAAGTTTGTCTTCCATGTTTTGATTCTGTCTATAGTATCTTCCTAGATATTGTTCTTGGTTCTTGCAGGCCATTGAGGGCCAGTAGAGGTCACTGACTGACTGATAGATGATTCACTAGAAGCTAAATTGCACCTCTTGTGAATTCAGTGCACCTACCTTGTGTGCATCTCTGCCCTTTCAGCACATTTCAGTATAATGTATATCATAGAACAACAACACAGTAAAACACAGAGGCTCATTTTTTGTTTTGTGTTTTTGCTTAAAGAGCTGATTTTGTGTTACAGATGTGGGTGAAGACCTTCTGAGCATGTGCAAGAGAAATGTGACATTAAACAGTCACATGACGGAGCCTGCAGGTGAGATAGTGTTGTCAGATTACTCTCCTCGTCCTTCATTTCTTTCTCTGATCCCTCCAGTTCCCAGTGATACCAAAGGCACTGTACACATCTTAGTTTGGCCTGTGGTGTGTATGCAGTGCTTCAGTATGATCTTAAATCTCATCCTTTTCTTCTCCTGAGAGACTTTGTGTGTGGGGAAGTTAACACTGCTCCCCCAAAGTGACCAAATGTATTAATATTTATTTAGGAAAAAAGAAATGAACAGAAATCTAAGTAATATAGGTACTGTGTACTTAGAATAAAGAAATATGAATACATAAACGGTCAAGTGTGGTTGAGCCGCAAGACAAATTCAATTCTATTTTACTATATATCACCAAATCACAACATGATTCACCTTACAATATTACTGAGAAACCCACGAGTAAGCATTGGTGACTGTGGAGTGAAAAAACACTAGGAATCCAGACTCAATGTGGGGAGCCATCTGCCTTGACAGGTTGGGGTGAGATGATAGATTGAATTATTTACGTGCAGGGCCTCACTTTCTCTGTTTTATTCAAGAAATAATTGATTTCTAATGCATGTGCCTAATGTGTACTAAACTGCTTGCTTGTTTATGTATTTAACTTATTGTTCATTTTCCTAAAATTAAAAATGATAAGTTCATTAGGTGGGGAAAAAAACGAATTTTGAGTACAATTAAAACCAAAGAAAAAAATGTATCTGGCTTAATAAAGTTTTTTTCCTACCATTAGGTGGTGAGGTGAAAGTGAGACAGCTGGATTGGCATCAGCATTCACTTTGTACAGGTAACACACCAAGACATTTGGCCAACACACAAAATATATTCACTGTGTCAGAGCTATCAACATTTGATATTTCTATAAAATGCAGGAAAATATTAGTATATAATGATTCCACAAAGTTGTGTTGTCAAAGATTCCATGTACCTCCCAAATTCCAGACATGCAGGTGAAGTGAACCATGACAACAACTCTGCTCATTTGTTTTTGTGAAACAAAAGTAGAGCCTGAGGGCCACTGCTACTTTTAGTAACCTCAATAGCTACAGCTACAAGCTATTAAGAACTGTCTCAACATGTTCATGATGTTTTTGGTTCTGTACAGACTTCATATGGTACTGGGTATTAACATCCATCCTGAGATCACAAATGAACTGCTCTACGTTCCTCTGTTCACACTTGGCACTAAAATGTGTCTTGAATGTTTCTCCTTGTGATCAAGGATCACGTCAGGGATCACTTCCCTGCTGTCTATGCAAATACACACGTAGGTTACATCATTTTCGGTCGTGATGAACAATACAGGTGTGTGTGTCTGTGTGAGGGAGAGGGAGAGAATGGAGTCACCGATCTGTCATAATCACCGCAGGGGTCACATGGAGACAAAGAAAATCAGAAGGCTGATAATTATTTGCAGGGTTTTATTTATAAGAAAATAACCAGCTCTTGGAACAATAATGTCTAAAGTATGACATATTTGATCTCTGGAAATAATCTTATGTCCCTCCCTCTGTGGTTCACAAACCACTATTATGCAAACTACTGTTGTAGCAGGTCAAAGGACATCAGCGAATTTGGCAAACCTGTGAATATAGCCCAGGAGGAATTTGCGTTTCCTACCAGAGGCTGTATGTAAGCATGGATGATATGACGGCTTACCAAAACTGAATATAGCCCCCTGGTGGCTGGATTGTTTTATTAGTTATTTGTTGCTATAAAATGGGGGTGAAATATCATGATTGACAGTTGAGACTGACTTGCGATTGACCACTCCACGTCTTTGGGTTTAGATCTCGAGATGCATGGATGTTAATACCAGGACTGAGAGGGGTCTTTGTTTCCATTTGTCTGATCTCTCTAGATGCTGATGAGGAATTTAGCTGGACAGAGGAAGAAGTTGCCGATATGTACGACCACACTAGCTTCATTGTTGCTGCTGATGGTAGGTCATTGAGATGAACAAGAGATGTATCACATAACTCTCCTCCAGTATACAGCACCATACTGTACACTGGCACTTTGATTAATTGAGGCCTGAGGTATCCTTCTTTCTGTCTTTCTGTCTTTCTGTCTTTCTTTCTTTCTTTACCACAGACATGATGTTGCCTTTGAAAGTCTGGCTTTGAGAGTGTGTGCTTGCGTGTGTGTGCGTGTGTGTGTGAGAGTCTGGAAACACTTCTTGTGCATTAGAAATGTATTCCTACAGTCTATCCAACCTTTCTATGCGTTAAAGGGATAGTTCACCTTCAAATGAAATTCACTCATTATCTACTCACTCTATTTACTCTCTGCTGATGGATTTACATTAAAACCAACAACCAAAGCTGTTGGTTTTAATGTAAATGATGAAGTGGATAAATAATCTGGCTCCAGTTCACCACCTCACGTCTACATTGTCACTTTCACATCTCTAAAATGTTCTAAAATCAGAGTTAGCATTCAAGTGCACACATGCTCCTGTCAATTTGTTTTCATAAATCCCAACGTTAGCATGGGAAGTGACATACGCATCTTTCGGGCCCTGTTTTGTGTGTAAGCAACCGTTATTAATGAGGCCCCTGGTCTGCCTCACTGCTCTCATATGCGGTGGTGTACGGAAGCCCTAAAGGGTCATACATACATACATTTTATTCCACCCGTTTTCCCGTGATAACGAGAAAACGATCTTTGTTATATCGAGATAACGAGATAATAAAATAAAAAAATCGATGGCCGTTCTCGGCTTCCATAGTCCTCTCAGATGACGCACACTAATGTGTACATTATCTATAGCAAGGCATAAAGCTATTTCAGCCTGTGTCAGGCCTTGATTGAAGAGATATGTGATGCGGTGATCTCCTGCTCCTCTGACATTGCTACACTAAATGATGTTTCCTGCAATGATTTAATACGTTTTGTTTTCTCGAGATCTCGAATTAATTATCTCGTTATCACGGGAAAACGGGTGGAATAAAATGTATGTATGTATGACCCTTTAGGGCTTCCGTAGTGGTGAGCTGAATTGCTCTTATATATTCTGGTCCACCGTCAACTGCTCTCAAATATAACAATGACAACAGGATGGTAAGTTTCAGGGTAATTCACACATTCACTCATTTTAAGCGATAGGATGAAAGGTCTCTAACTTTGCTCTACTGTCGCACACTGGTCTGCGTCAGTTCTGTGAGAACCTCCTATCAGTAATACTGCTCTCATACCCTGATCTTCTCTTTCCATCTCAAACCACGTTGGTATTTCTTATTTATTAAATGCACAAATCCCACAGTAGTATATCTGGAGTTTTCTTTGATCCTGCTCTATTCCTGTGAACATGTATAATAACAACATGCAGGGCATGTAGAGGCAGGAGCTGCTCCTGACTGTTAAAGCCTAAAGACTCCTCACCTACACATTAAAAAATGAAAACATACCTCACTGCAGTTGTGTGCCTCTGCCAACCAGTGTGGTTTCTGTCCACATATTTGTTTTCCAGATTCATAAACAGATCATCCTTGAGTCCAAGAGAAAGTTTGTGATAAATATAGTGACATTACTTTTGAGCATTCCTGATGTACTGCGTTCACAACAGTGTGAGGTCAAACTTTGATCTTGACCACCAAAATTAAATCCCTAAAGGAACTCTTGAGATGGGATGTACCGACAATGTATGGATGGACGGACAACTCGAAATCATTATGCCTCTGGCCACTGGCTATAGCAGACGCATAACAAACAAACACAGTGTTCTCTCCCATTTACATTATAGAGAATAGTTGTCAGGTGGAAATTTCACAAATGTATGCCTCTTTACAAATGTTTCAAAACACTTCATGAAGATGATGAGTGCATTGCTAAAAGACATTTCTCTACATGGTGAGTGTCCCATTTGCTGTGTTATGTTGTTAATATGAAAGCCCTGACATCTTGCCTTTAAAGCAGCAGCATGAAAGACAATTTCATAAACTGACCAACAAGCAGGACAAATAATCCGATTTATTTTCTGTCGACAGTTTGCTATGATGATGATCTGACAGATGGCCTTTTTCGAACACTGTACCGACTCTGCAGCAGCTTTACTCACACCTGCACAATCTTCATCTCCATTGAGAAGAGGTACGGAGAAAATGTTTGAAGAAAATACCTTTTTAAAACAAGTGCCACTTAACTGTTATGGTGACAGTGTGCAGCATTTTGTGATCACAACAGCTTGCAATTTGTCACTTCCATGGATGGAGGAGGGCTTGTGGTGCTGTGTTCTAGATATTCATGACATCCATTGGTTTATTGATTCCAGGCCACCCAACATAGACACGGGCACGAGTCGTCATAATGGTGGTATTAAGGTGCCCACTGTGCAGTGCTCTTGTGCACAACTAGGGAGGAATTACAAATTATGAAATACACATTAGTGCCCCTCTGCAAATTAACTGCTCCTCCCTTGATGGACACAAACCTGGACACCATGTCCTAGTCATCTCTCTACTGTGATGTGGTAAGCCCCACGAATGAGTGGCCCTGTGGGGCATATAATACACAATCACTGAACTCACTCACATCTGACACTTCAACAACAGAACACCTTAAAAACAACCCAAACCATGGGATTAATTAAAATCAAATGACACCATAAACACAACGTTAAAATCCCAAGATGATGCAAAGAAAAACCAGCAGTCCCCATCCGTAATGCTCAAGTCCCTGGCCAGGTACACCTCATTGTTGACTGATGTGATGGAAATCTGAAAAACAAGAGGCTGGATTACCACATTTGTCTTTGTGTATTCATCAGTGGCTTTCTGCAGAAAGGATCAACGCAGAGAGTCACAGGGAGCTCAGAGTGCTGACGGAGAACAGAGATCTAAGGCTGTTTGACTGAGCATGTTAGACTGGTTCTGAAGGTGCAGTTTGAGACAGGAAACTTATTTGCATAATCTCTTGGATAGTCAATAAGCAATAGAAAGTCCCTACAGGTTTCAGGTCACAAACAGTTCAGGTCATAAAAGCCTCAGACAGGTATATGAAAGTTACTTTTCAACTGCAAAATAGTTTCCCACCACACTTAGTTATTTTTCCACTACACTGATTGGTTGAATCCTTTTCTTTTAGAACCACTACAATCATCATTCAGCTAATATTTTGGTTATCGTTAATTAATCTGAGGGATCCATTCCATCTCTGTTTTTTTTTTTTTTGAGTCAATTATATTGATACTTAATTGAATGTGTTGGCAAAGACTCCAAATGAAATTCTTCCGTATAGACTTACAGTAAAGTAGTAGCCACAATTATCAAACACTTGCCCAAGGACACTTGCGGAATGGGGAAGACTGGGATCAAACTGCCGACCATCCGGTTAAGGACAGCCGCAAACAAAGTTCTGCCCATAGGTTCACATACAACAATGTTAATCTGCTTCTCTGTGCTGTTAGCCTGTTCTCTGCCTGCCCCAACAATGGTAGAGTGAAATAGGGAGCTTGTTTTGTCATTTTTGGGTTCGTCAATTTGTATGAGGCATAAGCCCACTCTTGTCCCCAAATGTGTTGATTGTGCAGCACAAACAAATGTTCTATTATGTCTACTTTTACTGTTGTATCTCCAGTTACAAGCTCTGGTACTAATCAGGTTTCCTGTTGTGCTTTGATACACAAGGATGAACTTCACTCTGCAACACATGGATGTTTCCTGCGATGCTTACAATTATTTCAGGCACTGCTTGTCCCAACTCCACGAACTGATGGATGGACGATGTTGCTTCAAAGTGGAACAACTCCCCTCTAACTTTGCCCAGTTTTTCCTGTATGAACGCATAGAGCAACTGGTAAGAGAAACACTTACGCACGTCCTAACTTCATTTTAATCTACAACCTGAATGCAGATTAGTAATAATAAACAGAATAGATCAAAACTCAGCTGCTTTTACACATTCTAATGCATGCTCAACCTCTGCAGACGTTATCCGGCGGAGCTCTGTGTGTGAATGCAACCGTCCAAATAAGCTGAATAAGGCCATCAATTGACTTTACCCTGCCAGCTCACTAATACATACTTTGTGAAATGTTTCATTAAGTCATTGTCCAGAGAATTCCCAGTGATCTGAAGTTTCTTTCCTGCCTCCTGCATGCTTTACTCTGGTGTCACCCCTCGCCTAAACGTAGCAGAATGTTTCCATTAGGAGTGAATGCATCTCAAACAGACTATCCTGTTGTGTGATACTTTTATAAAGAGCACCTTTATCTGTTTACTTTATATGTTGTATACCACGAAGAAGAGAGAACAGTGGGTTTGTAGCTAAGCTAACAAGGAATCTAATGTTACCTTGTATAGAATTTTAATTTACGTATCAATCATGAAAGTCATTAGACTATATGTGATTCCAATGGCAGATGGAATATTCTGGATTTTACAATTCAATATTTCAGATTTATTTTGGTAGATTTGGGCTATGTCTATTCCGAGTCGCCCAATGATATGATTGTTGATCTGAATGATCCCCTCTTTCACATCAGATTGAAGGAAGGGAGCCTAAAAGGAGAACCATGGCTGATACTCAAAGATTGATACATTTAGAGGACCCAACTTCTTAGCACTGGGTGGAATGCTGTCTTGTACTCCAACAGTACATTCCCCTTTTGCTGATTAAAGGGTAGTTCACAGAAAAATGAAGACTCATTATGTTCTCACCACTATGCCAGTGGAGGTGTGCGTGACGTGTTTGAGTCCACAACACAAGAGTTTCAGGGGTAAACAGCATTTCAGCCAAATCTAGATTGACTGTATTTACCTATGTTAGTTATTGTCCAGGCCTGCCTCCCCACTCCTACAAATTCTGGATGGATCAGATTTAGATAAAGACTGAAAGGTAGGGTAAGGTTTTTATTAATACCCATTGTTTTATATTTCGCAGGAGCTGTGGAAGGTGACTGCCACTCCACTTCCATTTGACCACACCCAGCCTGATTCTGGACCGTTTTTAGCTCGCCCTGGGTTCACAAGGGAGCAACTAAAGAGTACTGACTAAGAGCATACTGATTCAGTTCACAGGTTTTAAATGTAATTGTTAAAACCAATGCAGTATCTTATTATTGTATTTACTATATTCAAGACAGAACTGGATATTTAAACAAATTGAGCTCATTTGTTTTACTAAATAAATCCACGAATGTTTCATTATTTATTGTTCGACAATGCATTCATATATGATCATAATGGAAGTAATTCAACTTTGGTGATCAAAGTCATTTGAGTTGTAAGTCTGTACTATGTTGTATATGAACAGCATAAGTAAATCAAATAATACTAAATAAATATACAATACAATACAATTGTACCACCCACTGAGTATGTATGTACATATATATTTCTCATTCTGGCTCCATGCAACTTTCAGCATTTCAGCACTTCAGCATTATTAATCTTTGTTATTATTATTTATTTTGTTGCATCAGAGAATGCTGGATTATTAGTTCTGGAGTCAGAGATAGGAGGAGAGGAGCCTGGTAGCTGAATGCTTTACAGATCCAGGATCAGAGATAACTCCCAAATTCCTAATCGTTTCATTGGAAGCAGGGGCAATGCTGTCTAGAGCAGCTATATCATTGGATAATGTATCTCTAAGGTGTTTATGGCTGATTATTAGAGCCTCTGTTTTATCTGAGTTTAACAAGAAAAAATTCTAGGTCATCCAGGTTTTTATCTCCTGGAAACATGCTTTAAGTTAATTGATTACATTGCTGTGGTTTTATTTACAAGTTTAACTGGGTGTTGTCAGCATTGAATTGAAAATGTAGTGTGTCCTGATCATCTTTCCTAGTGGAAGCTTATATAAGTGGAATAAGATTGGGCTCAGCAAAGAACCCTGTACTTCACTTGTGTCTGTGGTAGTTGTAAAGTACAGTTCCACTGGGTTTGTGGTGGCTGAGGCTGGAAGGGGACAGATCATCTGCACTTTTACTGGCTGATGATCGAGCATCACCTCTACGAACAACTTAAGCATTCATTTTACACTAATGTAACAATTTTATCCAAGACTTGGCTGAAAAATCCATTGTTATTCATAAATAGATCTGCGTACATTTACATATAATGTACTAAAGATATGCATCTAGATCACCCAGTATGTCCTGCTAGTCAACATTTTATGATCGGTATCAGTGGCTTTCCATCTTAGTCCAGTCACATTGACAGAGAGAATCATTGTCTTGTTTTGTCTTGTTTTCGTGGCATTATGAAATAAAAGTCCCATGAAATAAATAAATGTCGTCTTTTGAAAAACATCATTGTGAAATAAGTAATCGTATTTATTTAATTCATTTAAGTAAATCGATTCAGTTATATATTTATATTATGTTATACTTATATATTTATTAAATATATAATAAATAAATCAGGGGTTTTTTCATAGCCATATTTATTTATCGTTTTTTTCTTACCTATTTCAGCCCCATCTGAAATCTGATTTGTCGGTCCTGTAGTCACTGACATCACGAACAATAAATATGATATTTAAGATTTAAAAAAAATAAATTATGCTCTACCCTTTTTGAAGTCTGTAAACAAGGAATGACTTAAATGTGCACTGATATTGAACATATTGGGAGGCAGTAGCTCAGTCCATAGAGACTTGGCTTGGGAACCGGAGGGTGGCTGTTTCAAGTCCAGCATGGACGAAAGTTGGAGAGGTGCCAGTTCACCTCCTGGGCACTGCTGAGGTGCCCTTGAGCAAGGCACCGAACCCCCCAATTGCTCCACCTTCACGGCTGCCCACTGATCCGTGTCGTCACTGTGTGGTCACACGTGTTCCGTGTGTGCTGAGGTCACACGGATGGGTCAAATACCGAGGTCAAATCTCCCATGTTTGCATGTTGCATGCTGTGGGACCATAAAGAGGGATCTTAATCATATACTTGACCCCTCTGTGTAAATCATCTGCATGGCCCCTGATCTAGAAACATCCTTGATCCGCCACTAGGTAGAGCAATGTGTTTGCGTTGTGATGGATGTGGATGTGATGCTCCCTCTGTCTCTCTGCAGGCTCTTAAAAACACACCATGCTGTGGTTCGCTGGTGTTTAAACAGAAACTGAAACGACGTCCTGCTTGTTCGACATTCACATACAAATAAAGATTGGTTTCAAAAAAGAGAGGGAGAGGGAGAAGGGAGCAAGCCCCTCCCCCTGTAGAGAGCAGGCTCGGCTGCATCAGACCGGACACATCCTGTCACCCTGTGCGGCGGGGACCTCTGTCAGACCCTGCAGCCGGCGCTGGATCCTCGGTAAGTCTCCGCAGCCTCCGTTTACTGACACACGGCTCACCACCCGCACTCGGTGTCACGTCGACATGGTGCGTTCACTTGCACGTCGCTGCGCTTTGCGCTGAGCCGTCGGCATCGAGATGCGCATCGGTCTGCAACGGCCATGTCCAAACGGCAGCTGGCGAAGTCGTCGGTCTCCGCGCCCAGCATAACCTGTCCGTGAGTGGTGTTGTTCTGTTTTTGCGTAATGACTCTATCGATCCAGGTCCTGCAGGGTTGTAGTCAGACCAGCCGGATCCAGAGGGAACCAGATTGCTCGGAGGAAGCGTAGACGCGCGTTCAGTTCTCGAAGGGACAACATCTGGTTAATCAAGTTTTTAGAAGCCTCGGTGATTTGGATGCATCGCCTCTGTGAGGGCACAGACGATTAGCTCCGGGGGTAGACGACAGGGGATGTGTGCTCCTGCACCCCTTTGGTCTACAATGCAGACTCTGCGTGGATCCGAAGCAAGTGCTCCGTACAGCTTCACCTCGCTCGGGAGCATGCGATGTGTTTGAGAATCAGCCCAGCTGTGTCACAACGTGAAGCAGAAGTTGAAATAGAAGCACAGTGAAATGAAACATTATGAAATCCATCTTTACCAGCAGATGGTCGCGATTGAAATAACTCGAATTTAATCAGGTTTATTCCACATGCTATTAGTACTGTACACTATTCTTCAATAAATCGGTTTACACAGTGTACATTGACTTTGCCATTCCAGAATCCATTGGCATCAGAGATAGTGTGCTTGTGAAGTTGTCTTCGACACCTTATTGATCACTCAGCTCCAAAGCTTAAAGGTACAGTGTGTAGAATTTAGTGATATCGAGTGTTGCATGTTGCAGCTGAACACCCCTCACCTCACCCTCTCCTTCCAAACATGAGAAAGAACCTGTGATAGACTTCAGTTGTCATAAAAACTCAATATTTGTTCAGTCAGCACCACTGTAGAGAGGGTCCCCTCCATGTAAATATAAAGTATTTAAATATAAAGGGTCTTTTCTGGGTTAAATAAAACTACAATTCATACAATTTAGATGAAATTAACTAGTGAAAACATCATGAGGATTATTCTACATTAAATGTCTGCCAATAGATCCTTTTCACCTCAATCTTACACACTGGACCTTTAAGCTACACTTGCTCTTGCTTGCTATCTCCTTTTTTCGGTCACAACAATAAACCTTTGAACCCAGAATGGTCCGGGGTTTTTTAACCCCTGTGCATGAACAAACAGCGTAAAGCCCACCCTCTGACAATGAGGGGGGGGGGATCGATCAATGTATGTACAAATGAAATAAGCAATGTTTGAATCTATTCCAGTTTTATGTATTAGTTTATTAAAATAAGGAAATGGCTCAAAAGGTCAGACTGATGGTTACTGGTGTGTTGATTTCTGTTTTTTGCTCAAGATGTGTCACCTCAATGTGTTTCCTGTGGCAGGCCCCTCAGTTGTTAGGGGCTAGGGTATTCAGTTAAATTCAAAGTTCCAGATAGAGAACATTTCCCAAAGCAAAGGTCTGGAACATCATTATATCTAACTAACATTATGCCTCGTATATATTCAACGTGTTGGCAACAACTGAGTCAAGTACTTTCCTCATTTCAAGTTAGTCTTAAAATGTATAGAATAAAGCAGTTTTAAAAGTGTTGAAATAAAGTGCTTGATATAGAAAAAAAAGGATATATTTTTCTCCTTGCTGCTTTTAACAACTGCCATGGTCTCGGAATATATAATATATAAGACAAGACACACTGTTTTTGTGTATGAACATGAATGAACATGCACAGTGTCCACTCTTCTCCTTTTAGAACAAACTAGGTGAAGTAACTTTTCTCTGACTAGTTCTATTCTCCCCCCCACTTGTCTGTGTGGTTCTTCTCACTGGTAAGTGTATCTCACTCTGACTGTGGTCAGAATTTACAATGCATGCAATATGCAGGTTAAAACAACAATAAGGTTTGCATTTAAAAACAAAATAAAGAGCTTTTGAAAACGGCATCTTAAAATAAAGTGCTTAATTTGAGAAGAAATTAATAAAATGATGTAGTTTGAGTTTTACCTTTTCTTCTTTTTACCTAATATATAACTACATTACACATATAAACAATCTCATCATGAACAACTAAATAGCTTTAACTTTTCTCTTTGTTCCCACTGTCTCTTGTTCAGTGAGAGAGAAGTAAACCTGTGCTGCCAGATTTACTACAGTAAAGATGGATAAAGCAGTACAGGTCAAAATAAGACTGAGGTCTGAGTCCATGTAGAACAGCTTCTGGCTCCGATATTGGGCAGATCCTTAAAGCCATGTTTCTAGGTGGACTATGATAAATAAACAAGCCACAACTACAGAGACTGAAGGATGAAGCCTATGCAGTAGTGCAAAAAAAACGCAGTTCACTGAGTGGCCACTTGAGGCTGGCTCCAAAAATGAGTCAATCCCCATTAACTCCCATGTTAATCTATGAATCAGAATAAGAAGCCCTTTATTAGTCCTGCAATGGGTACATTTGCAATGTTACAGCAGCAAGAATACATCAAATAAGTAGCGTGCAGTACTTGGGGGAAGGCAGCCTGAGTTTAGAGTAGAATTAAACGTAGGCCCGGGCCGATAATCAATAAATCAATTAATCGCACGATAAATTAAAATGAACTCGATCATTTTTCCGGCCTCGATATATATCGCCATGTGCATGCGTGTTTGTTTTCCTCGTCTCTCGCCTCCAAGCAGGCTGGATGACAAGAGGGTTCACTCTGTGCTCGGTCTCAGCACCTGGGGGCGTTTGTTGCGGAATGAACGGAGTGAACCCTCCTGTCAGTCATCCAGCCTCTTTGTCTCTGTGGGGGGAGGCGGGGCCGCTAGCATTAGCCACACATGCTACACACACAGAGTGCAGTGAGTGAGAGTCGTGCGGAGCACCGCCAGGAGAAAAGATGATTGCAAAGTCATACGCCACAGCCCCGGTGTGGGAAGGTTTCGGCTCGACAAAGTCAATATAAACGGAACAGCACAGAATGGTGTGCGCTCACAGAAAGTGAAGTTCACTACATCGCAAAAGGTCAAAATCACTGAGAAATAAAAGTTTATTGTATTTAAAAGGGTGTCAACATGATATATTATCATGTTGACAATAATATCGTTTATCGGCAATACTTCGTGTGACAATATATCGTCCAGCAAAATTTGTTATCGTCCCAGGCCTAATTAAACGTGTACGGTCTGGTTAAAAAAAAAGATTTGGTCTCAATGGCTGAGTTCTTTCTTCAGGACAACTGTACGGCATGTGCATAATTATCACTTGATTGACAGTTGACTCACTCCAGCTGCTAGCCTGTTGTCTGGTGGGCCTGAGCTAACCCAGTCACATACTGGATAAATAATATGGTTTGTTGTTCAGCTGACAGAGAAGTCAAAGACGTTTGTGCATTGTGTATTTCATCATGTGTTAGCAGTGACTAGCAGGTAGCAGTGTGTCCGTACCTGGCCTTTTTGCTCAGCTCTCCTAAAAAGACAGCTAATGAATTAGGTTTGGCTCCAGGCAAGATACCAGAAGTAATTATGCTAATGGGGGCATACAGGAGTTATTAGACTGACTTGAGTTGAAGGTAACTGTGTGTTTGGAGAATAAGCTTCACTGGGTTAGGGAACTGTTGGGTTTCTCTATACATTTTTAAGGTCTCGACCTTCTATGTTAAGTGCCTTGAGATAATGTATCCTATGATTTGGCGCTGTACAAATAAAATGCAATTCAAGTTAGTAACCTAACGTTATCTTAAGTTGTTTAGCCCGCCTTCATAGTAATGTTAGTATTGATGCCAAAATGGGGTAAATTATCTTGTTTCAAGTCTAACTTGTATGTTGGGGCTTACAGACACTTGGATGATACCACAGGAGCAGTATGGAGGCATAATGTGCTTTTTTTCTGTTTAAAGGATCTGTCACCATTTACTTTAATTGTTTTGGATTTTGGCTGGAAAGAATTGAATTCTTGATGAGTGCTGTGGATGTAAATCATGCATACACAGCCATAGCTAAACCTCCTCTATCCATTGCTGACCAGCCCATCGCTTGCCTATTTCACCCAAAAATACGATGAGATGCCCCATGAGAGATAATTCATACTTGGTCTCACACACAGCATCATAATCTCACACACACCAGTATACTCTTACACAAACACTCCTATACTATTTTCTATACTCTCTTACATGCATCATCATCCTCTTTCATACACACTGTGGAAGCTGGCAAAGCAAGAGTCCCAAACTGATGCTTTACAGCTCTTTAATCACATCATTCAACCATGGCAGCATAGAAATGGTAGAAACACGAGGAAAATAAACAAAATGTACATTTATTTTCAATATTAACAGGGAGTAGAAAATAATCATTAAATAAAAATAAAATACATCTATTAAAAATATTTAAAAATCAAGACAAATAACCGCAGACCTTTATATTTTATATTAAATACACTGCTCAAAAAATTAAGGGAACGTTTAACAGTCACAGTATAACAGCAAGTCAGTTAAATTTCAGGGATATCAATCTGTCCATTTAGGAAGCACAAGTGATAATGAATCAGTTGCACCTGCATTGGTGCAAATTAAAGTGACAACCAGTGCAATGGAGATGCAAAGTCAAGACAACCCCCAAAAAGGGTTTTGCATGTGCTGGCCACAGACAATTGCTCTCTCTGTATCCCTTCTGACGGATTCTTCCCTAGTTTTGTGTTCTGCCATTGTCCTTGTCACTAATGGTAGCATGAGGCGGTATCTGCAGCCTGATCAATCTGCACAGGGAGTCCAGCTCCTCTAGGAAGGCACATCCATAAGAAGGTTTACTGTGTCTCCCAGCACAGTCTCAAGAGCCTGGAGGAGACACCAGGAGACTGGCAGTTACAGTGCATCCGGAAAGTTTTCAGACCTTTTCAAGTTTTCAGACCTTTTCAAGTTTTCAGACCCTTTCAAGTTTTCCACATTTTGTAAGGTTTCAGACTCATCTTAAAATTAATTCAATTCATTCTTTTTCTCATCAATCTAAGTACAATACACGATGACCAAGCAAAAACAAGTTTTTGGAGTGTTTTTTAAATTTATCAAAAATAAAACCATGAAATATCCCATTGTGGTGGAAATTTATCTCGAGATGTGAAATAAAGAGTTTCTCAGACCAGAGTTGTCTTTGGGTCTTTAATAGAGCTCTGCAGAGGGTTTCACACTCAGCGTGAATGCTCAGAGTGGAACCTCGAATAGGGAAAGAAGAAGGTTTTTATACAGTCGGGTCAACAGGAAACATAAGAGACAACTGTTACCGAATAAGAGCATGAACACTGAAGCCACCTGTAGTCTGGTTGAAACAGGAAACTGTCTGCTCTTGCTTCTGCATATTTTTCCAGTGTTCCAGAGATCCCAGTGCCTGCCCGTCAAGTTCCCCCACACACTTTTCTCTGTGGTGAAGCGTCTCACTGATGCACCTTCAGTCCATCTTGAGGGTTTCCACAGCACAGAACCTAACCCCAAACGTCAATGAACTGGCAGCCAAGAAAAGATGCCAAACATCTGGCTCTGGCACATGTAAATAAAAGAAGAATGCATCCTACATAAATATGTTTTCTTTTTGCATTTTATCCAACATCCTGTCTATCCTGTTTAATAAATGTTGACCCTGTTCGGCCCTCGACGTAGTCCCAGTTTTTAATGATGTCCCTCTCTGTGATTGAGTTTGACACCACTGGATTAGACTTTAGTACGCACATGATACTCTTCACCCAACAGTTGAACAACATACAACAAGCAATAAACTCAGAAACAAACTCCAAGATGGCACTGTGTGCTGTCAATGTAAACAAAGGAGAAAGTCTGACCACTGTGAAACATTCCTCTCACCAAGATGAGTGTATGATAGTTATTAGGAAACAGAAACTCCAGTTTGATACTAACCAGCTGCAGATTCTGCTGTGATCATGAAGCAGCTGTGACCAGAGAAACTCTTCTTCAACAACAAATCCTCTGACCGGCTGCTTCAGTGTGAACGAGCTCTGATCTTGCTGTGTGTGTCTCTCAGTGTGTGGTTGAACCCCCTCATCCGCTGTCACAATAACATCTTTGTAATTAAATTTACATTTTATTTGTATAGCACCAAATGATAATATACATTATCTCAAGGCACTTTCCATATAAGGTCAAGACCTTAAAAATGAAACCCAACATTTCCCACGTGTCGCTCGTTATTGCTCTGACACAGTCTGAGTTATTTGTAAGTGGCAGCTTCAATGCAGGGGGAGATGGGTTTGCACAGAACTCGTTTTTTCCTTGTCCCACTAATGTTAATGGATCGCACTCTGGGGGGCACATGAGGCATGTTCGATGTGCTACCAGCTACATATCTGATAGCAGTTGTGCAATGTCGGCATATGGCTTTTGTACGATCCACTTGTCTTTGTCCGTCGTCATTATAGTGACTGTGAAACTGAAGTGTTCCCACACAGCAAACTTAAATGATGGGGGAGGGTCTTCACAGTCCTGTTTGTCTGGGTTCGGTACTACACATGCATACTAAACCGAGAGGCCCATATATATATACGTGTGTGTGTGTGTGTGTGTGTGTGTGTGTGTGTGTGTGTGTGTGTGTGTGAGAGGGCTGGGAGACCACTTTCAATCAGATCAGGTAAGAGCTGATTGATCCTCAGATTCAAAAGGCAGCGGCTCTGTGTATATATGCATGTATGTATATATATATGAGTATATATATATATATATGGAAATTAAAATGTGTCATTAATGTGTGTTGGCTGCTTGGTAACTTCTATACTGAGAATCCACAATTTACAGTGACTTCCTGCATTGATTGATCAAGTGCTGTGAAATAGTAAACGGGTTGAACTGCCTGCTCTTAATAATGGTCACAAGTGAGTGCAGCAATATGCAAGCCTTGCAAAGGAGAGACTGTGTGATGTGTGCTGTTATCTTCACACAATTATGGTGTCTCTCTGCTCTCATCGATAGCTGACTTTTCACGCTTTTTTTTTTTTGCAGACAAGCCAAACAAGATAAAACCTTTGGTCATTGTACATCAGAACTTGAATGTTGGATGTAATTAAATGAATGCACGCAGCAGGACAATGTCAATATGGTTGGATCATCAGTGAGTAAAATCCTTTGTTAAAGTATAAACTGGACTGACACCTCCAACACAACATCAGGAATCAAAGTCTGTTCCCCAGTTAAGTGTAGTAATGTAGGCATTATTGCTGTTGCACTTCCTTTGTGTTCTCCTTGTGTGTCCAGTTTATCCCAGTTCAGATTTGCTGTGTCCCTTCAGCTTACCACTCACATAACCCGTCCCATCCCTCCAGGGCATACGAGGGCTCCCATACTCTAAACCAGTTTAATCCAGTTCACATAGTGTTGCCAAGAAACTGTGTGTGTGTGTGCGCGTGTGCGTGCATGCGCGCAAAGGACCAAGGTTTCCTTTGCTGTGTGAAAGCTGGAATTTTCCTGTTCTTGCTGCCAGTATTGCATAATAGCCTAGAAGATGATAGAGGAGAGAACGAACAGCCATGCATGTCTTTGCCTTACTCGTCCCAGTTTTCTTACAGTTTTGTAATGGAATAAAATGACTAATTAATGATACGAGAAGTTCCTAAACCTTAACCACTGTCTCTTTGTAACCTAAACCAAATATTTGTCAAAGTGTAGAGCATCTAGAGATGATCATTAGAAAATGCTCACGTCTTTTGAAATGGTCTCATAGGCTGCCTGTAAAAGTATTACCGAGATGTTAACCAGTATCTGACATCAGAAAGTCACTGTTTATCGAATGATCACAAATGATCAGACACCACCAGCTGTTGCAGGCTGTGATACCAACGGCAGGATGGATAGAGCCTGAGATGGAACATGTACGATTTGTCTCAAGAAAACATTAATCTAACAGAAAGTTGTTTTAGCAGGGCAGTAGTTATAATAGTCATTGGGGGACACAAATGTTTAAATATGGTCAAATTGTCCCCCCCCCAATACACTGAATAGTAAGCAGAAAAGATGACTGGAGAGGAGAATAGAGAGGAGAGATGACTGGTGAGGAGAGGAGGAGAAAAGATGAATGGAAAGAAGGTTAGTGTAGGACCAAGCAACCTTTTGCTAAAATAACTGTATTTGTCTTCATAGCTCTATAGCAATGCATATATTTCTGTTAATTGTTAATTTAAAGATATTTATGTACATTTTATATAATTTGATATACTTATGTAATTGTTGTGGTGGAAATTTGCATTTAATCCCCCGCTGATGAATTGAACAATTACACTGAATGATTAAATGAATGCTCAACTGAGTTTCAAGGCATTTAATACTGGTCGAGAAGCAAAATTACATGGAGTATATTGAACACAAAGTTACAGTGTTACTATTTGGCCAAAAAGGGACAGAGTTCTTAAAGCCACGGCAGACTCAAGAATCTGACAACATGTCTCTCATGATGAGCTGGCATTTATACACAAAGTTAGGAACACCCAACTGTTCTCCGTCATGTTGTCATTCCTCTGTGATAACAGTCCTGCAACTGCGGCATGGTGGACATTGATCTCACTGTCCTAAGTGTACAAACTATTATTACATATTTGATCAAACAGTACACCAGATCGTCCGGTTCATAGTCAAAACTATTCCCTTATAACTCTTAGGCAATTATTTCTAGTAGACCATAATGCTGATTCAGGCTACTTTAACTGAACTCACTGAGCATATTCAGGTAAAACAGTTAGATCTAAAAAAAATTCCATTACAATTGTATATTTAAAAATATAAATGTTTAAAAGCTCCTCTGAGCTCACTTCTGAGTCAAGAAAGCAAAGTAACTAGTAATGTGTGCATTTGTTTCGGATTCATTATTAAATAATGTACTTTAGTTACGTTTTGATGAATGATATTCAATTAAATTGTATTTGTGTAGCGCCAAATCATAATATACATTATCTCAAGGTCCATAGAAGGTCAAGACCTTAAAAATGATAGAGAAACCCAACAGTTCCCACAGTGAGCGGTGAAGAGAAAAAACTGCCTCGATAACTGGAAGAAACCAGTTAGCAGAACCAGACTCAAACTGGTCGGCCACCTGCCTCGACCAGATATGTGATGAGTCACTTATACCTACCCAACCCTGCTTGTGAATAAGCGGAACTGGTTTAGTATAAAGCAACTTTACACATCAGGATAAATTAAATCATTTAGAGAATTTAACAGCTCATTGGTTTTCTCTTCTGTAGCATCTCATTGGTTCTCTCTTCTCCCCACTGTTCTCTCTCTCCTCTTATAGGTGACTCGGCGAAGTAAGATCCTGATAGCACTTGCTGCCTCTGTCCTGCACTTCGTCCTGTCTCTTGACAGATTTGTCATGGCATCCTCCTTGATCAGCCGTCAGCTTTCTCTCTCCCTGCAGAAAAACCTATGGCTCAGTGCTACAGGTAAATCGAGCTCTCAACTGTTTTGTTGATTAACCTAGAACTCTATCTTAGTCATTAACTAAATGTCTTGTTACTAATTGCAATCAACTGCTTACTTAGAAACAACTGTTAAGTCCTATGAGACCTTTTTTTTTTTTTAAATGTTGGATTGGCCTTAAATTCTGGTTGGTTGAATTGAAGCAAATACCAGCAGAGTCTTAGAGAGTAGATTATCAGTGCATTCTACTTTATTCTCACTTAAATATCATCAGCAAATATGAAGTTTTGATCATTCTGATGTAACCATGTGTTTGTGAAAAAAGAGGACTGTGACTGTATAACTCAGTGTAAATGTGTAACTGGCTTCACGCCTGACATGTGTGCATGCTTCTCAGAGACTGCTGACTGAGCGATGTGTCAAAGGTCTCCTGTCAGTTATCAGTAGGCCAATCCATTTGATTTACATGTATTGCTTCACTATAACCTTTTAGCATATGCTGTTAACCACCACTGTTGTGGAAAATCTGCTGATCAATGGTCAACTCATCAACGAAGAAAGCGTTCAGGAGCCGTTTGATGTCTTATGCTGAACTATTTATTGAAGCTTGGCCAAGGAGGAAATGAGAAAATTATCAATACAACATCTGTGCATGATGCTCCCTCATACTCTGAAGTCTGCTTTCCTGCAGTCACACTTTAAACCCTTCCCAGACACAACAGCTTTTGCACTGTGCCCCAGAGAGGGCAAGAGACAGTGTCTATGAAAATTCCATAACAACCTCCAATGGATTTCTCACTGAAAAGCATGATGTCGCAATGGAATACTTCAGGAATTTAAAGGCCCCATATTGTGTAAAATACATTTTCTAGGCTTTTACTATCCGTAAATACTTGAAAGGGGTCAGCAGGTTCCCTCAGAGTATGAACACTGTCAGTCCACAGACTTTTTCACTCGGTCCGTTCCAAGAAAAATCTACTTGAAACAGCTTGTTTCCGACTTCCTGAATAAGATGACGTACATAGACTTTAAGGCCCCTCCCGTACTCTTCCCTCAGCCTAACCCAGCGTGTACCAGTCCAGCCTCCGAACACAACACCGCTCCCCACCAACAGGTTTTGCTTTATTTTTTGCGACGTGCCGAACCATTTCTGGAATAGTGTGTCGGCGTGTGCTCGGCTCATTTCACCACAGACTCTCAAACCTACAACAACTCCTCAAGGATACAGCCTCCCCCCACAGCTCACTGCGGAAAAATATCCTCAGCCCGTAAGTAAAAAATTTTTGTGTGTTTAAGTTTGCTCTTGTGGTGGTTTTTTAATGCTAACGTTAGGGCTTTGCTACCTGTTAGTAAAGTTAGCACACAGAGCGGCCTCACTCTGAACATGTAAACCTTAGACACAACACACGTAATGTTCTGCACCGTCACATTGTTGCTCCTCGATGTGCTTCTGTCTTAACATTCCGCTTTGCTGCTGTTTGTATGAGTACCGTCGTCCCCAGCTTTGTTTCCATGATGTGCACCGCTGCAGACACAGCTGCCCCTCGCTACGCAACGGAAACAGAGAGCTGACGGTGTAACACAATTCATGAGGATCACATTTGTGTTGCGACTGCACAGCGTTCGCAGCCTATGTCACACTGTGGATGCGCATGTTTAGTGTATGTAGGTGGCATCATCAAGGAAACAGGAACTGTGGCTCTCATTTATTTTAGAGATCAACTTATCAAGTCCTTCAATGTGGCTGTTAGAATATCTCCCTATAATAATCCCCCCCTACAATAACAAAAAGTAATGCACAAGGCTTGTTCTTTGTATTTACTTTACAATTCATAAATCCTCACCTGGCCCCTTACAATTCTTTTTATCTGTAGGGGACATCACATTTGATCTCTTGTGAACCACCTCCAAGATGTCCACACACGTGAAGAACATCCACTGTGAATGCTTCACAGTGCTTCAACTATATTTGTGTTACATCAGTACATTTTCAGGGATCGTAACTGTGCATCATACAATAATAACACATAATCTGTGTCTTTGGCTCTCTGTAACAGGCTAATAATACATATCAAGGAAATCATTTTCTGTTCTTTTTTTGTCTGAAAAATCAGGTTCAACATCACTTCAAAGTAGAGGGTCCTGATGGACGTGGAGAAGTGGAGCCTGCACCACCAGACTTCGTTTTTAGATTATTATTTCTTATCAGAGAAGCCAGTTCAGTTTCTTTTACAGAAATGTTAAAACATCTCTGTTTGCTTCAGCCTTTAACTAGATCCTGTATTCCTGCATGTTTATAAATACATTGTATGTCTTTTTCTTTTAAATGGCATTTAACCTGTTTTATAAAATCTTCTCTTATATGAAATACGTTTCACTTGTTTTTATTTTTTATCTATTTTGTAGGTAAAGCACTTTGAGCTGCATGTTTGTATGAAAGGTTCTCCACACATTAAGTTGTATTATTTTACTTACTGATATAGCCTGAGCCTTAAAGGCCCATAGTCAGCCCCATAAATGTTGTGTGCATTTTGCAGCGAGTAAACAGTCAAGCACACAGGTTCCAGACCAGGAATCTCTGACATGCAGTTTGTGGGGGACTGAAGCTGCTTCATTCTTCTAAAAACCTGATGAGCAGAAAAAACAAGACTCTTTGGTACCACAATGTAAAGACTTTGGCTACAGTGAAGATTATTTGTGATCTACCTTGTGTGTCTCCTTGCAGCACTTTCTCTGTTATCATCATCATGGTATCATTACCACAGCTCCACCTGTGGCGACATTACAAGTGAAATAACGTCATGAAAACATACTGTCATGTATACATGACAACAACAACTTCTTCTAAATTCAGCTTTACCCTTAAGAGCCTCATCAAGGTGTCGCATCAGCTGTGCTGCCTGCGGAATAAAGCGGTGGTAAAAGTTCACCATGCCCAAAAACTCCTGCAGAGACTTCACCGAGAGTGGACGTGGGAAGTTTGTGACAGCGTCCACCTTTGAAGGGAGAGGGACTGCGCCGTCCTTAGTAATGCGGTGTCCCAAGAACTCAATAGCCATCAGGCCATGCTGACTGAGTCCCTCAAGGAGTGTCCATAGGTGAGACGTGTGTTCTGCCTTGGAAGTACTAGCCACCAGTATATCATCCAAATAAACAAATAAAAAAGGCTGGTCCCTCAATGTATCCATCAATCGATGGAAAGTCTGTGCTGAGTTTTTAAGGCTGAATGGCAACCGAATGAATTTGAAAAGGCCAAATGGTGTAATAACTGCTGTCTTGGGCACGTCCAGTGGGTGCACGGGCACCTGGTGATAGCCACGGACTAAGTCTACCTTGGAAAATATGACTTTACCAGCCAAGCGGGCAGAAAGTCCTGGACGTGTGGGACTGGATAGTGATCCGGTGTCGTGGAGTCGTTGAGATGGCGATAATCGCTGCACGGGCGCCATCTGCCGCCATCTGCCGCCATTTGCCGCCTTGCTTTGCCATATGCAGGTGCAGTATGAGGTGAAGACCATGGGCTGCTGGAGCGACAATTATTCCAAGACGCTCCATGTTCTCAAACACAGCCTTAGCGATAACAAGCTTAACTGGGTCGAGGCGCCGGCTCCGAGCGTGAACTGGTGGGCCAGCTGTAGAGATAAGATGTTCCACCCCATGTTTGGTGGTATTGGATGAGAACATGGGCTTTGTTAAACTAAGAAACTGTACCAGGAGGCGGTGGAACTCGTCTGTGGCTGGTACAATGCTGGACATTCCCAAGTCTGATACACCAAGTGAACAGGTGTTTGAAAAAAAAGTCACTGCATCAGGTGGTGGCCTTTAATATCCACTAACAACCCATAAGCACACAGGAAATCCGCACCTAGCAGGGGGACAGTAACTTTAGCTGTAACAAAATCCCAGCTCAAACATTGGTCTCCAAAACACAACTCCACGTACTTTACTCCGTAGGTGAGGATGGGGCTGCAGTTGGCGGCTTGCAACAGACGGGGGGCCATGCCTGTAAGTCAGCATGTCCACCCAAGATGCAGGCAAAAAGCTCTTCTGCGCCCCCGTGTCGCACAGAAAGCAGCGCCCAGATATGGTATCCTGAATAAACAGCAGCATGCATGTCCGGCCAGTGCTCGTGGCTGCTAGTGGGCGCCGGCCACTGAGTTTCCCGTCCCGTTGAAACTGCATGGAGAGCGACACCTTTTAGCCTTGGATCCATATCGTGCATGGTAAAAACACAGTTGGGAGCAGTTTGTTGTCGTTTAACCGCTGCTGCGCTGACAATGGCTGCCTCCCCCTGCAACAATGAACAGGGTGAGTCCCATGCAGCCATGCAGCTCGGTTGCCCCACCAGGAAAAACGTATCTGCTTCTTCAGCCAACGCCCAGCAGTCTGTCAGGATGTTGCCCAAAGCAGCCTGTACCTGAGTCGGCAGCTGCTACACGACCAGCTCTCTGAACTGAAAGTCTGGCTTGTGGCTTCCCAGGAGAGACAGCATCTTAATTCTTAATTCAGAAGGCTTGCTGTAGCCGAGGCCGTTAAGAGAAAGAAGTCAGCGTGGTCGCTCTGAGTCAGAAAGTCCAAAATCCTTCAACAGTTAAGCCTTTAACGCACCATATTTATTGTGCTCTGGAGGATTCTCCAGTATGCTCACCACTCTGCCCACAGTCGCGCTATTGAGAGCTGCAACGACATAATAATACTTCGTGGTATCCGGTGTAATGGCTCTGAGTGCAAACTGCGCCTCTGTTTTAGCAAACTATGCAGATGCTTGCAATTCCCAAAACTCCGGGAGCTTAAGCAAGACTGTGTTCGTCGCCATATCTGTCTCTGGAGACGTCCAGATCCCATCAGGGTCATTTTGCCATAACCAAACGAAACACGTACGGGCTGTGCCTCAGGTTGTTGGTATTAATGGCTCTATTGGTAGTGAGGCTGGGCAAGTTATACTTAAGAAATTTTCAACATGGCTTCTCTCAGACTGGAAAGTAGTGACAACGGACACCAGCCTGTCAGCAAAATTTGCATGGATCTCCAAGATGCCCGGAGAAATTATTTTGAGTTGTTAGCAGTGTTTCTAATGCTAAAACATTTTCTACCATTCCTGTGGGGACATCATCACGGACAATACGACCAGTGTTTATCAATCATCTGAGGTGTCTATGTTCCTGTTTCTTACACACTCTTGCATACAGACTGATATTGTGGAGTGATATACACCTCTTCTCCATAAGAGCAACACACATTACTGGGATTCAGAATCTGGGTATGGACTGTTTGTCCATGGGAAGTCCTTTTTATGTGATGTAGACTCTGCATCCAGCTGTATTGGATCAGATATGGTCACGTTTCGTCCGCTGGGCAGTAGCCCTGCACGATATATCGGAATTTCATCACCATCGCGATATCAACATGCTCAAGCAGACTTATCGCAAAAGACTGCTTGACTGCGATAAGTGGTGTAACATGTGCCATGCAGTCCCGCTCTGCATCTCATTTTATTTGGCTAATCAGATCGGGCCCTGCTGCCCTAGATGATAAATTAAAGATATTCAGATCATTTTCTGGCTTTTATTTCAATTAATCATTGTTGGAACTAGAGAGTAAGAAGAAAATACCAAGAAAACTGAATTTTAAAACAGAGATTTGTCGGCTCTATTAAAATCTCGCTCAACCTCCTCCAGACAAAATTGTGCTATGGAAACTTCCAGTGATTACATTTACACATTTTTCACTAAGAGCAGTTGATTATTTAAAGAACTTGTATCAAGGACAAAAACTCAGCACTGCGAACACAGTGAAGCAAGACACAGCTCTCTCTCTCTCTCTGTCTCTCTCTCTCACACACACACACACACACACACACAAACAGTGTGTTTGGACACGTGAAAACTCAGTCTGTGTTAAAACAGACTTTGTAAACTTAGTCAATGTACAGTATGTAGAGCTGGAGGAGATGGCGGCATGCTCACAAGGTTATCGTATATCCCATGTTTTCCTGATATCGTGCAGCCCTACTTGGCAGTGGATTTGTTCACGTCGAGGGAAAACATGCATTGCCCACTGTCTCCTCCCTGCATAACCAGAGTGCAAAACTGGGAGTGGATGCGTTTACACATTTCCCCCTCTGGCTTTGATCCCCGACATTGTTCAGGGTGTGGGAGAACTGTCTGTCACTGATTTTAATCACCCTTCACTGGCTGTCTATGCATTGGCTGGTGGAAGCCCCTTCACGGTCACCTATGGTCCCTCCCACTGTGCAAGTACGTTCTCTCCCAGGTGCACAAACAGATATTTCACCATCATCTGGAGCGGCTCGCCCTGTGGGCCTGGAGTTATACTGATCACAGTTATTAACAAAATCCAGATTGCCAGAGTATCATCCACAAGGTCTCTCTATGTATGTAAGTGGGAAGTGTTTCAGGAATGGTGTGCTAAAGAACAGGAAGTTTCTTTTCAATGTTCAATTGGTGCAGACTTTTTTCAGGACTTGATTGATGAAAAGAGGGCATTTTCAACTGTCAAAGTTCAATTGGCAGTTATTTCTGCTTGCAATGTTGAATTAGATGGGAAACAAGCTAAGACCCACAAGGGCAACCCATGGTTCGTGATCTACCAGTCGATCTCAACAGACTCACTGTCAATCCCCGTAACTCTTTGGACTCACAGGCTGCGGTTGCACCACAGATCAGCTGTGTGTCGGTTTATCTCCTGCATTTCCTTCCACACATGTCAGATTATGTACTAAACCAAGTATTAGGACTCTACAGTATGAAGACGTGCATCTTCCGGTCTGTGGATAACAATCAAAGCCCTGTTCGGACCAAATGAACAGATAAATGGATTCAGAAAGTGAAAGGCTGGAGTGATTTTACTCTGAAATGGGTTCGGGAATGACTGGAAATACATTTGTGACATAGACAGATAAACATTGTAGAATAAACAGAGAAAATTATCTTTCACCTCTTATTAGTTTTGATGTTTATTTGTTGAATTTATGTCACAAATATGAATGTTTGCGACACTTTCTGTATGCGTTTCAAAATAAAAGCACTCCAGCGTTACTGTTGACAGAATCCACTCTTTTGTTTAAAAACTGGGTTTTATTGTGAAATATTTACGGAAGATGCATGGCTTCATACTGTATACTACCGGTATTTATTTGAGTACACATAACTACTTTAATGCAAGTAAATATGTCATATTTATGGCCATATTCAAGGCAAAGCCTGTGTAAAAACAGTAGCAGCTCTTCTGCAGAACATATTGTTGAACTGAGAAGCTAAATAGTGTGCATTGAATAGACAAAGGTGCACAACATTCTTTCTTTGTTTTATATTTATGCTCATACATTCAGCCTTGAACAGAAATTGCAAAAAAAAATAAAAATGACCCTCCTAAGTGGGATTTTAGAAGATATAAGGATGGTAGATCTCAGCTTACATTTGGAGTTAAAAAGTGATCTTGGGCTCAAAAAGGTTGGTGACCACTGCACTAGGTCAAGCACCAAACAAAGACTTTTTCACAGGATAATGGAAGCCATTGCATTGGCCTTCGAACCTCAGAGTTCCGGCTGGGTTATGGTCACATTCTACGAGGGGTCTTGCAACCTCACATCTGCAAGGTTCTATAGACTGAATGTCACATCCCTAGGCCTGGCTCACCCTGTCCTGAGCATGGGCTCCTCTCTGGATCTGACTCATCCACACATCAAAACAAATGCTCAGAAAGAGAAGTTTGTGTTACTTTATTAGCAAGCCTCCTGAAACATGGTTCTTCACCAATAACCTAATTATTTTTTTTAAGAAACAAGTAAAAAAAAAAGACTGCTGGACCCTATCACTGCCTTCACGATGTAGTTGCATTTCATATCATGCAAGACCCGTTAACATCTGCTTCCATGCGAATGTCCAGCCAAGTAATTCATTAAACCTCAAAGGGAAACTTATACCATCAACTTTCACTGCTGTGGCTGTCAGTGTGCTCACTACTTGAGTTCAGCTGATGTGTTAGTGGTTTGACAAACAGCCAAAAGATTCAACTTCAAGTTAGGTAGCCCTATGAACAAATCAGAACATTATGACCACCTTAAAAGAATATGTTGGACTTTAGCCTCTTTACAAATGGAGCTTGATGCTTTTTGGGTAGGACAATGCAATGAAAAATGGTTGAATGGGCCACCTCACAAAAACTGAGCCCACAATTTAATTGTAAATTCCCTAAAAAGGTGCAAATGATTATTGTTTCGATGCACGCTGCATTTTCTTCCGAGGTAAACAAGTTCCTGTTCTTACCAGCTGTCTCAATTTGGCTGCTTAACAACTACTGTACTCATATCACATTGTAGACATGGCTTTAGTTTATTCCCTTCTTTTTCGTATATGTGGGGATTGAATCATGCGTAGATTTGTTTCTTTTTCTTTACATGAGTGATCATAACTTTATCATAGATAGAACATCTGCTAATTCCAGTCAGTGCAACATGCATTTATTTAGCATGTTTAACTGCAACCAGTGTAAAGGCATTACAGTAAAAGGGAAGATATCTGAAGGTGACTTGAACTCAATCAGCTGCTATTATTTGTATCATTACACACAGCTCCTGAAAATAGGTGACGCTTTGCAAAATCGCTGGTAGATCAGAGTCGCTTTCAGGCACAGCTCACCATGGAAGCCTGGCACTATGCCCATATTTTTGCAGACACTGCAACAGAGAAATGTTTCGATCTAACACACATCTTTGTCAGGAACTGCTTTCAGTCAGTGTGTGGATCTTTCAAAGACGTGGAAATTTCAGGGCAGTAATTCTAGTTTGACATAATACGCTTATATAGAAAAATCTCCCTAATAATAATGTTGGTGAGTAGATAATGAGAGAATTCAATTTATTGGATGGCTAACCTTTTAAAGCAACTGATCAAACTTAATTGTGTCTTGTCCTAGTCTCTTCTGAACACCTGAGTGTCCTTCACATCTGATGAAGGGGGAGACCAATCATTGAGCTTTACCCTCAAAATATATGTAACGAATTAAATGCATTTCTAGTTTCTTATTTCTTATTTTTCTTATCTTCTTATCTTTTCTAAATCAGGGTGCAGATATGTCAGCAAAGCAGCTCCGAAGACCCAGGTGGACTTTGACTACGATGGACCTTCTATGAAAACTTCAGTTCCTGGGCCACGATCACTAGTAACAAACACAAACAAAGTGATTTAAAACCACAAAAAAGGTATCACTTAGAATAACTAACAATGTTTTTCAATCTGTAGGAGCTGACCAAACAACTTGGGGAAATCCAGGTGAGTTGAGTTTCAGGTTTTTAACTCTGTCTGGGACGTTTCTAGTTGCCCACCAATTAAATGAATTAATCATGAATAGCATTTGGTAGTATCACATTAATCAGTGTCACAGGTCAGTCACAAGTAGTGTAAAGGTACAATCCTAGGTTTAGTGTGTGCGTGCATGCATGCATACATGCCTGCATCGACAGACAAGGTGGTATGATTGCAAAAGCATGGTGTCTAGTCACAGGTTACAAGAGGATGTGCAATCAAATGTCAGTTCAGAAGGCCATTCATCGCTTAGGTAGGGAAACAAAGGAATGAATCATATCCGAGCATTTGGAAAATACGAATTTCTAATATGTATCCCCTTTGGAGCTTTTTATGTGCAAATGGCTCAACCTCTCAATCATCAATCAATTAATAGTTCATATCTCTACACATTTATTTCTTTAAGCATTATTTACTACAAGTAAACATTTATGCCACTATACAATTTAATATTCTGCAAGCCTAACATTAAGCTCATCAAAGTAGCCCTGCTTGGATCACACATGGACGTATTATAAGACCAGGATACCAAACCAAAAATGGTGCCTATTCATTCCTGTGAGAATTTTTGGTGTGATTCATAAGTTAAAAATGCCTGTGGCTTCTTAGTTTCTTCCTGATGCATGTCCCCCAGTGAACATTAAGGGATACTACCATCATATCTCTGGACGGGCGGACAGTAGGGCTGTCTGAAAATATGCCATATGCGATAACCTTGTTGAATATTGCGATGGCGATATAACTTGCGATAAACAACCATAAACAACAAGTATCCGGTGTTAAAGTCTTTCTGCTTTGGTTTCACTGCTAACATAGTACAGTACAGTTAGTGGTCCATTTTTATTTTTAAGAGAGTGTTCTATAATTGATGTTGATTCTAATTAATTTGTGATGTTATAGAGACATGAGTCATTATTCTGTTGGATAACAACACAATTAATTATAACTAGGCAAGAAAATGTAGTTTAAACTGTCTTCTGGGCATTTTTTCATTTAGAAATGGATCACATATTATATAGTTTGGTGGATTGCTATTATAACCATAATTTCCAGATCATTAAAGAGAATGCTTCTCTGAAGAGAAAACGAAAGTGCACAAGCAGACCACCTGTGTGTTCGACAAGCAAAGTGCACTTTGTGAACCCACATAGAGAAGATATTGCTATTTTAACAATGCACCCTTAAAATTTGTCTAATACTCCACCACTGATTTCAGATGTGGTTTATGTTGGTCACTGTGCCAATTATTCACTTGACTATACCTCATTTTAAGACCAAAATTTCCATTGACACTCAGATGGGCACAACAAACGTTCACTGTACCATTAATACAATTTTTACATCTGTTATTGTCACTCTTATTATTCTCATTATAATAACCGGTCTGACATGATGGTTACACAACTGTTCCTGGTCTTTCTCTTCTCTCCCATCTTTTCCACCCACCTCTCCTCTCTTCCCCATTGTTCTGCTCACCCCAAGCGGTCGAGGCAGATGGTCGCCCCTTTTTAATTCCAGACGTAAGCCGAGATCTAACACCCTGATATCTTCCAAAAATCCCACTAAGAAGAGGCCTTAGTTATTATTGTTTGCAATTTCTGTTATATAAATATTAAAGTGCACTTGTATAACAGTAGTTACGTGTACTCAAATAAAAACCAGTACAAAGCAGTATGAAGCCATGCATCTTCCACTCCTGCAATATTTCACAATAAAACCCAGATTTTGAACAAAATAAAAGATTTGGTCAAAAGATATGCTTTTGTTTTGAAACGCATACAGAAAGTGTTGCAATCAATTCTTTTTGTGACATAAATTCAACAGATAAACATTAAAACTAACAAAAGGTGAAAGATAATTTTCTCTGTTTATTCTGCTGTGAACCACAATGTTTATCTGTCTATGTCACCAATGTATTTCCAGTACTTCCCGAACCTGTTTGGAAGTAAAAGCACTCCAGTGTTTCACTTTCTGAATTCCATTCATTTGTTCCAACAGAACTTTGATTGTTATCAACAGACTGGAAGATGCAGGTCTTCCGTAGACCGTAGAGTCCGGGGGTCTCATTTATAACAGTGCGTGGGATTCATACTAAAAGTGTACGTGCGCACAAAAGCCGGAATTTGCGTATGAAAAAGAAAATTGCGATTTATAATCGTGCGCAAAAAATACACTGATACACTGCTGCTGTTAATACAGTGAGTGAGAGTGAGGACAATAGAGAGAACGGAGTCTGGGATAAAAAAAGATCCAATTCAAAGGTGGAGGCAAAGAAATTATCGCTTCACACTGTCAGACTGTGAGGGAACTTGTTCTATTGCCTGTTTGTATTGTATTATCACATTCAGAGACAGAAGTTAACAGAATTATTATGCTTGGATGGTTCGGTTCTGTCGGTCGATCTAACACTGGACTCAGCTCAGCACAAAGATTCCATATCACAGATCTATAGAATTTATGTCACCACAGTATTTATATATTTAGAGCAATCGGACCAATTACTTCACTCTGTGGATCTTAACCTCCACTCTGGGAAATAGAAGTTTGAAAGTGAATAGTTAATCTTTATTTCTGTGAGTGATCTCCAGTGAGCTCTGTGCACATGATGGCACAGTCGTGTTCGCTGCAGTGATTTTACACACACTCGTCCTTGATGATACACACACAGTGTTAGAAGATATTATTAAAACCATTAATGACTTGGCTCTGCAACTCTGCTGTTTAATTTTATCCGAACATAATTTGCTGTTGGTCTCTTCTTCATCTCTTTTTCAATTGAAGATTCTTATGGAACAGTTTTATCACGCAAGCACAAGTAAAGCTGTTGGTTTCAATGTAAATGATGAAGTAGATCAATAATCTGACTTCAGTTCACCACCTCACGTCTGCATCGCCACTTTCCCATCTCTAAAATGTTCGTATACATGGCTCAGAGTTTTGCATGGAAATGCACACATTTTCAAATTTTGTTTCTATAAATCCAAACGTTTGCGTGAGAAGTGGCGTATGCACGTTTCAGGCCCCGTGGTTACAAATGAGACCCCTGGTGTTTAGTTTAGTACATAATCCAACTTGTATTGAAGGAAATGCAGTCGATAAACCAGCAGCTCTGCAACCAACACACGGCTGATCTGCGGCTCAACCGCAGCCAGCGAGTCCAGAGAGTTCGGAGATCTGATCGATTGGTAGATTGCGATTGATGGGTTGACGACTGCTGTGCTGCGGTTTCTTCGTGTTAATGGGTTATTTTTTTCTCTCCACAGTTGCCACAGTATTTGCTCATTGTTGGAACTGTAGGGTGTCTGTAAAGATTTTAAGGTCTCAAACTAATTATGTTAAGTGCCTCAGGATAATATATATTGTGATTTGGCACGATACAAATAAAATTGAATAGACTTGAAAAGTGCATTTGCAGTTCAAAATTGGGTGTGGGATTGGGCTCAGTAGCCTAACTTCACATGTATTATTCTACGTGTTGACTGAACAAGATGCCAGCCATCTCTGGAGTTTTTTGAAAGTTGACTTCTGTCTGATTAAGATATACATACAATAAAATAATGACCTTTTCATCTGTCTGCATTCACCAAAATACTGGGCATTTTATACTGTCATATAACAGGTGCACGTGTTGTTTGTGTGTGTCTTCTGTCGAGTTCGCACAGGACGATTTAATTAAACTGTTCAACTCTCTCTTCCCAGAATGTTGCTGCAATCAATTTCTTCTGTAACTATGAGGAGAGCAGGGGAAACTACCTGGTGGATGTGGATGGCAACCGCATGCTGGATATCTACTCTCAGATCTCTTCCATTCCAATTGGTTAGTAGCAAGGAGCAGACCAGGAACACTTGTGCACCATCCGGTTTCAGCTCTGACAGACAAGTTGTTGAAATAAAAAAGAGTGATGATTATGCACGTAAATAGGTTATTAATGATAGCAGCAACAATTCATGTAATAGTTATAATAATAATATATATTGTTGTTGTCCAACTCTGGAGTCAGAAATACCCACAGAGAGAAAGAGAGAGAGAGAGATAGAAGCAGACACACAGAGAGAGAAAGAGACAGTGAGAGACTGGGAAGGAAAAACACAAAGTTATTGACATGTATTAAAATAAATTAGTGTGGGGGGGCATAGAGACAGACAGAAGTGTAGAAGTGCTCAGTGGATGATGGGAGTTCCCCCAGCAGTCTAGACCTATAGCAGCATAACCAAGGGATGGTTCAGGACTCACCTGATCCAGGACTAACTATAGGCTTTATCAAAGAGAAGAGTTTTAAGTTTAACTTTAAATGCAGAGATGGTGTCTGCCTCCTGAACCCAGAGTGGGAGCTGGTTCCACAGGAGAGGAGCCTGGTAGCTGAATGTTCTACCTCCTGTTCTACTCTTACAGACTCTTGGAACCACAAGAGAGCCTGTGTTTTGTGAACGAAGTGATCTACTTGGATAATATAGTGTTATGAGGTCTTTGATATATGAAGGGGCTTGACTGTTAAGGGCTTTAAATGTGAGTAGCAGGATCTTGAATTCTATTCTGAATTTTACAGGGAGCCAATGTAGAGAAGCTAAGACAGGAGTGATATGATCTCTCCTTCTAGTTCCTGTCAGCACTCGTGCTGCAGCATTTTGGACCAACTGGAGACTTTTTACCGACTTCAACAAAGCCACTCCTTGTTTTACAGACAAAAGCCATCAAATATAATGAATGCATAAAAAACAGGTTTCATTAAAAATCATATGGGTGTGACAGATGCGAAGAAAAAACAATTTCTCTGCCCGGAGGGATTTATTGCACAAAAGCGCTTATGAACCTTCACATACAACATCCTATATTCATATGAACTACAAGTATCTGATGAAGTAAAACCCACAAGCTAACAGTTCATGGAACAATGTTCAAACTGCTGCAGGAGCAAATCTATAAGGCTTGAGTCTTGCTTATTAACACAACAAGAACTAATAAATCAATATTAGCATTTTGGTCAAGGGCTCTCCACCGTCACGTCCGTTGACAAAACCATAATTAATGTAATCTGGGTTGTACCCACGTACAACTTTGATGTTTTTTGTGGATTAGTATATTTCAGATAGTGCTTATGTAAATAAGCAGCATAAACATACTGGAACCATACTGAAAATTCAGGAGCTTCACAATATTCCTTCATCAAGCAGTGTTTCTCTTAGGATGGAGAACAGGAGTCAGCTCAGCAGTGGCGAACTTAATTCTGAATGCATGTAGGGGAAATTGTCAAAGTCTTAAAAGTTGTCTGACTTAATCTGAGTAAGATCTGAATAACTTTCAGTAGGTGTTGATTTGATCATGAATCAAAATTGACGTGGACTTCAGTCCCATCCAGTCTTTAGGGTGGGACTCATCAAATGTTTGCAATTTGATATAACATCTGTAGATTCTAGCTACAGTCTTTAACATTTTCATGGCAAAGGATAGTAATTTGTTGCACCGCATACAATGTAAAGAGACAACCTAGCTTTTGTGGTTGTTAAGTGGTAGACAGTTTGAGGCTGTGGTTCTGGCCTATTGATGCTGATCTTATTTTCTAGATGGCTGTTGAGTGAGCAGTCCTTTAGAGTGGTGGGCCCTGCAACTGCAGTGTTATTTTGTTATTTTCCACCCACTCCTGGGGCAAATAGTCACACCAAGCCATGCAATGCAATGTCAGGACACTATGTATAGTGCCAAGTAGAATGTGTTGAGAGGGGGAAGGAGACTGGAATACCTCTTGGTCCCAGTCCTGGAGGTGGTGTTGAGTAACCAGATTTGATTACTTGTCATATGAACCCCTGGTATTATGAATCATCACTAGTGCAGAGCTAGTATTTTTCTACTTATTATACTTCTAAATTTTAGATCTTCCTTAGTTTTAAATCAAAACCGTGCAAATGGTCTTAAAAAGAATTCAACACTGGTTCAAGACTGGAATGACACCACATGATCATACACATTTACTAGCCAACTTACTAATACTGTAAGAATGTAAAGTCAGTGGAGAAGCCCACTTGGCTTTCACTTGACCCCAAAATAAACATTGTAGGTCAACTTGTTTTTGCTGCGTAGACCGAATGGTTGTCTGTAGCTTTTTGATAAACAGTTTGATAGAGCAGAGGAGAATAATTCAAGCGAGTTCTCGCTGATCTTGTTTTGCGCCCATTGGGCCAGAGCCTAGGAGTGAGAAATTGTGCGGTGTGTGTGTGCGTGCGTGAAAGGGAACCCTGCTCTGGGCTAGGAGGATAGCAGCGTACGTAATGATTAATATCGTTTTATAAGTCATTGGTTTCAGATCCAGGCCTTTGGGCCTCTTGACAGAAGTGCTTTTGTCGTTGCCAGGAACTCATTTACTTAATTAATTCACTAGTTAGAAGGGCCTGACAACGGGTATTTGTTACAATTGTGTACTTCTCAGAAAGCATAGACCTAAGTCCATTTAAGTCAAACAATACCGGCAAATATCGGCACATTTTCTAATAGGATGTCTTATCCTTCCAAGTATTTATGTGATACTTTGTACAGTCCATATGCATGTATACACAAAGCACAAAAGACTTCTTAAATCTGTCCCTGATATAATTCCTGGCACAAGGATGTTGTTTCAAAGCCTTTTTACAGATGAAGTAATGTGTTTGAGAGATTCTCCTTCCAGCATTCAAATCACGATATACTCATTTCCTGTTGTTTCTCACTCTGGTGTGTCTGCTGATTGAAAGATTTAGGAATTACACAAAAGATTTTGGGAATATAATGCTTTCTCAATTTGTCTGCACGTTATATGTATTGGCAGACATTATCATTTCATGTGTTGGATTATGTACCTGACCAATCAATCGTCAAGAACACTTATGAAACCAAAGTGTGGGGACCTGAAAGGAGTTGAAGACTTTATTGTTAACACTGCACTCTGTTGGTTGGAAGTGGAACAGCACTACAATTTATGTAAGGCAGCTGCATTCATTTAGATAAGGTTCAATGCTTTGATGCCATGTGCTCAGAAAACAAGTGTGATCATAGTATAGCCTGAATTGAGACAACATCAGCTGAATGACACTGCTTTACCACAGCTGACAGGACCTAGTTAACCCTCTTAAGAAGGTTCTGAGAAGGTAACAGGTGTCACCTGAGAAACATGGAAAGGTGGGGTTTATTCTCATGGAACCAGGCAACTTGAGTTTGACAGGTCTAAGGTTAATGATTGCCTAAACAGTTAAGGGTCCAATCTCTAATGTAATAGGGTTTCAGATTCTGTATTCAAGGGGATATCTTTGCAAGAAAGCTAAATGCACTGGACTGAGTGTGAGAACATGATGCAGATCAGCGATGCATTTACTGTTTGCCATAGTATGTTGGGCGATTCAGGCATTCCTCTTCCTGTCACTGCAGTAGGCAGGTGTCATCAAACGAAAGTAGCTAGTTCACAACTTGATTTGCTATAGCGGTTACTTTTTTAAAACTTGCTCTATGTGTCCTTTTAGCTGATAGTTGTTTTGGACATTGAGCTTAGCTGGAAATTGCAAGTTGTGTTTTACCTCCCTTTCCTGGAGTACTTGGTTTTCACAGAATGCTCTTGTCTGCTAGCAGCAGCTCAATAGTATAATCAGGATTTCAGTGATTAGATTAGATTATCTGTTCTATATGACACAGCTATAGGATCAATGATTTCTCCTGCAGAGAAAATAGTTTTAAACCCAGAACCTATTGACTGCTGCTGATAATCCAAAAATAAAGATGTTTAGTTAAGATTTTTCTCTTCCTCTATCTTTATCACTCCCATTAGGTTACAACCACCCTGCTCTTCTCAAAGTGATGGCCAATCCCAACAATCTGGTATGTCCTCACCACATATATGATTATTTATGTCACTAGCTTGAGTGTGTGAAAGGTACTGTGTGGCATTGAGTGATGCTTGTAACTGGTTTTGCCTTTTCCAGATGTGCTTGTGAGTGGTATTGTTATGAAATTCATTCAGCATCTTGCCCAAGGACACTTCGTCATGGGCTGGGATTTGAGCCACCAACCTTCTGTTTGGAGGACAGCTGCTGTACACCCTCAGCCGCCCACATTTGTGTGGTTGTCAATAATGAGCTATTTCCCTTTTTGTCCTGATTATTTGTGGTGGTTACACAGACAATTCCAGTCAATTTATCGGAGGTGCAGCCACTACTGACTTTATCTACAGTTTAATGCTGACTCATTCATTCATTTGTCTCTTTTTCAGAGTGCATTTGTGAATCGACCCGCCCTGGGGATCCTGCCACCTGAGAACTTTCCAGACAAACTCACTGAAAGTCTTCTCTCAGTTAGTCTCTCACACACACACACACACACACACACACACACACACAAACTGCTTTTTAGTCAGAAATGTGTCCACAAAGGTAGCCTATGACAGACACACATACACAATTCCTTAGTCAAAAAGAAATGCTGAACATTTAAGACAATGGTATCTTAGTGTTTCCTCTTTTGTCTTCCCTCCTCTGAGGTGGCTCCCAGTGGAATGACTCGTGTTCAGACCATGGCCTGTGGCTCTTGCTCCAATGAGAATGCCTACAAAGCAATGTTTATCTGGTACAGGGTAAGTGAGTGTATGTACAGACCGTGTTAAATGTCCCTTATTATAGAATTTTTCTAGAATGGATTTTCAACAACAAAGTAAAACCATGCAAATGCTTGTTTTTTATCGCTACAATCCTTTATTTCAAGCTGATTTATGGAGTTTTCCATCAGAAAGGTTGTGAACTTGGGTCTGAAGACTGTGTGGATTGCTTAATAGAACTCTGAAATAATGGCAGACGTGCTATGTATGAAAAAGTAATAGCCGTTAAGTTAATCGATCTTATATATTATCGTTTGTTGCATTCTGTCAAGCAATATGAAGTGTCCATTGGGTTTTCCTGAAGGCTCTGTGTTGGGCCCTCTTTTGTTTAGTCTCTCTACATTGATTATCTCCCACAACAGTGTCATGGGATAGATAAGCCTTTCTCAAAGTGTGGTCCGTGGACCACAGGTGGTCCATGAGCGACTCCTAGTGGTCCGCGAGGTGACAAATTACATATCAAATTGTTCATGTTCAAATTTTAAATGTCTGTGCTTTAATTTCAGTGTTTCTCAAACTGCCTGCGACATATATGTGTTGTTTTCAATATCAAATCAACTAGTATGTAAAATCCAAAAATATTTGTTTTGTGGCATTGTCTGACTTGAGCAGTGCAGTGGCACCGCAACCGTTTTACGTCAAAATAAGTGTGACCCTGCCGTAACTTCGCGAATGTGGCTGTGCAAAGCATGGATGTATGGTGCAAAGCTTCAAATTAAAAATGGATCGATGGCTTAGGACCTGGTTATGTAAAAGAAAAGCAGATGAAAATTCTGACACGAGTTCCAGGATGATGGTTTAACGCCAGCGACGTCGTCAAAGCAGACCCCGCCGCAAACTGGACATGAACGTGAAAAATCCACCACTAAGATGAAATGAAAATACCACACGACTATTTACATGTTGGGGCTATTTTTGAATAAGGTGGTCCGTGAGTGTTTTTTAAGTGGTCCTGGCTCTGACAAAGTTTGAGAAACACTGGGATAGATCTACAAATGTAGATGACACTGCTCTATATGCACATGCAAAAACCACTGACTTGGCAGCAAAGAAGTTATCCACTGCCATGGAAAGAATCACAGTATGTCTCAGTCTCAGCATGAGCAAAACAAAAGGCCTGTTTTTTTTCTAAATCCAATAAACACTTTCATTATGCCTGAAAAGTTTGAAATAGTAAGTGAGTTAAAATATCTTTGTGTGATTCTAGATTTAACACAAAAATTAATACGTAAACAAAATGATAAAAACCATCAAATAAGACTTAGTATTACTTTAGACATATGAGAGACTGTCTGTCAGAGGAGTCTCTCTGTGTGTGTGTGTGTGTGTGTGTGTGTGTGTGTNTGTGTGTGTGTGTGTGTGTGTGTGTGTGTGTGTGTGTGTGTGTGCGTGCGAGAGTGTGTGTGTTTGTGGGTGTGATGTACTGCTTTGTGTTACTAATGTTTCATAACTATGTTTTGCTTGTGACCTTCCAAAGGGACTGCAGATCTCTCTTGTACAATGCATCAAATGGCTGAATATTGAATATTGTTCATGGTCCCTTTACATAAGATATGTAAAAAATTATAATAAACCTGCACTCATGAACGGTACTAAAGAAAATTTAGTTTCATTTTATGAAAAATATTCAGCTGCAATTTCATATTCACATGAATGAGAGTGATATGTCAGATTCAGAAAATGCTTGTAATTTCAGAAAAGGGCCACCTGCATGGTGCATTTAATGTCAGCTGTGTTTTTATTGAAATAAATAAGAAAGATTTTTTTTTTTAATTTGCAACGGCAAGTTGATCAATAACTGCAGAGGACGGTCAAGGAGAAGTCTCCATCACTGATATGGAAGAAAAAATATGTACAATAAAATTCCCTCTGTAGTCAGTCATGGAGTTCTAAGCCTCATTAGAGTAGGTACTATGACCTGCATAAATCTACACTTTGTCGTCAACTGTGAAAACTTCCATGTTTTTACACTGAAGATCCATCTATTAAAGTATTTTGGGGGTTTTTTTAATCGGACATTGTGAATAATGCTCAACTACTAACTTGAGTTTCTTCTTTCCAATCATAAATATCTGATTAATTATCTCAATAACCAAATGTGAATTAATCTTCAGAATCAATCTTAGAGGTTCTGACTGCTTTGGCTCTTGTTGTAGAACAAGGAACGAGGTCACAACACAGCATCTGATGAAGACCTCAGCAGCTGTATGATAAACCAGGTGGGTGGAAGAAATGCCACTACTTATTCTAATAATTTGGGATTTGTACTTTTACATTTTATTTTCTTCTGTGTTAATGAGTTTTTCTTTCTCTTCATCTGTGTGCTCTTCTTTCTCAGTCCCCAGGATGTCCAGACCTCAGTATTTTATCATTCATGGGAGGTTTCCATGGAAGAACCATTGGTTTGTTAATTACTCACATAATCGCAAATCAATTTCAATATTAATAGATATAGATGGATACCTGAAGCACTCATGGAATACTGCATGATGAATAAGTATTGAAATTATGAGGCTGAGGGACTGCTATGACATTATAGATTTGTGACTAAGTAAATATTTGCATCTTGTTCAGGTGCTTTGGCAACGACGCACTCAAAAGCAATCCACAAGCTGGATGTGCCATCATTCGATTGGCCCATCGCCCCGTTCCCCAGACTGCAGTACCCACTGGAGGAGTTCACCAGAGAGAATGCACAGGAGGAGGCTCGTTGTCTGGAGGAGGTAGGCTTTGCATGTGTAGAAGGGGGGATGCAGAGTGGGAGCCAGGAGTGTTGGGATCGTGACATGAATGGCTTCAATTAAACAGAGTGGATCCAAAAGTTCAGGATGTCATGGGCTACTTTGAACTACACCTGTCAGCACATTGCCACAAGATTTGCCCGCCCTTTCGCCTGCCCATAATTATGAGGAATGTCATTCTAAAGTTGCATAAAAGTCTCATTGAATTCTGATACAGGTCTCATAGCTGTTCATACTGGTTGCATTTCAAAAAATCGAAACAATTAATAAATAAATAATAAAACACATGAAAGTGGCCCAAATCTGATTTGAAAAGATATGATTCCATGTGATTTGTGCTTTTCACACTGTCAGTAAACAATAGAATCTGGGTCTGAACTTTGAAGACAGCTGCGACAGAGGTAGTCAGTGGTGGGACCATGAGGTTTAAGACCTCATAAGTACTTCAGGTGACACATCTGTACAAGCAAAACCTGAGGGGTTGTATCGTAACCGGTCTGTGTTTGAAAACATATCAAAAGAAAAACTTTACCTTACACTCACATCTGTGGCCTCCATGTTTATTACCTTCTTATTTCCTCTTATTATTGTTTTACGTTAATGTAACTGTAACTACATTTAGATCTTCGATTGAGTGTAAACTTATCATGTATTTTATATCTTTGAATTATTTATAAAATCAACTTCGAAGTCAAAAAGAGTTTTTCATCACATTTCTATTGTGATAGTAATAGGTGTGTGTGTGTGTGTGTGTGTGTGTGTGTGTGTGTGTGTGTGTGTGCGTGTGTCTGTGTGTGTGTGTGTGTGCGTGTGCGTGCACATGCACTTGCCACACATAACCAGGTGGAGGACCTGATCGTAAAGTGGAGGCAGAAGGGGAAACCAGTAGCTGGGATTGTAATTGAACCGATCCAGGCTGAAGGTGGAGATAACCACGCCTCCCCCAACTTCTTCAAAGGCCTCTGCAACATTGCACACAAGGTACCAGTTATCACTATGGCAACAGATCCTTTTAAATGATTTCTTGTTGTGCGCCACCTTACTTGCATCACATTGAAAGGTATACTGGTTTACTAGCCGCAGTTAAATTAATCAGTTATGAGTAATACATTATTGTAGCTTCTCCTTGGTAAAGTAACATCGTCATTGTACAATTAAGTCATATTTGAATAATCAGTAGTGGATTGAACGGCATTATATTACAATGTCATTTGACTGGGAGTGCATTTAAGACACAATCAGGTTGTTAAAATAATTGCAATCCTACGTGTAAATTCACTTGTATATGGTGTTATCCCTACTAGTAATGGTTGACCTTGTTGAGACTTTAACTTTATTCTCATTCACTAGACCTATCATGCATTCCGAGGCTGCAGGATAGACAGGTTTCAAGACTAATATGGTAATTTTGGGGTAAATTCTGCTGACACACACAAATGGGCAGGAGTGAAAACATAACCTCCCTGGTGGAGGCAGTCATTGTCACATTGATGGAGGTAACTAGTTTCACCAAAGGTAATTCCAAAAACTTTGATTGCAACTGTACTCTATATTTGAAGTAGTAAATAGGGATTTGGTATAGACATTAAATTGAGATAGTTTATATTCCCCTCTCCCATTAAAGGCACTTCTTTCAGGATCATGAGCAATAATCAATCAATTAAATTTGACTTGTATAGCCCATATTCTCAAATCACAGTTTGTCTCATAGGGATTAAAAAGCTGCTTCATCCTCTGCCCTTAACCCTCAGCAAGAGTAAGGAAACTACCTAGAAGACCCCCTTAGCTGTTCTAGAATCACTGTAAACCACAGCCTCTCCACGTGGATTGCTATTTTAACGATTTGGTTTGCTATGTAATAAATGGTAGTATCCATTTTGAGCCGACTAGAAATTAAGTTTTTCAGCAAAAACATAAAAACAAGTTGGCATATACTGTATACTTGGGTTGTACAAACCATATATGATATGTAAACAGTCCAGCTGCTACATTGCTTAAAGGTTCCATTGCTCAGGATCCAGATGTACCATACATCATTGTGGACCTGATAATTAGAATTAAAAGTGAGTAAAGACCTGCCTACACTGTCAATGAGTCAGTTGCATTCATGATCTGTCTTCCTTGGTCACTTCAATGTCTCAGTCTGCAACCATTTGTCTCTATAGCATGGCTGTGCTTTCCACGTGGATGAAGTCCAGACCGGTGGGGGGAGCACAGGAAAGTTTTGGGCCCATGAGCATTGGGGCATGGACGATCCGGCTGACATTGTCTCCTTCAGCAAGAAACTCCTGACTGGTGGCTACTACTACAAGGCTGAATTACAGGCTGACAAGGTTTGACCATTTAAAAAAACATTTTGACCACACAATGCATCAGTCATTTTACGCATGTGCTATATTTTTTGTTTGTTTGTTCATATTTTAACAACATAAAAAACTAAAGCCATGTTGGTAGCCCATATAGGCTGCAATATCCACTGTACTCCATATTGTTATGGAAGCTGGTGAAAGGAGAACTCAGGCAGCAGCTGCTATGCAGAAGATTTGAATGTAGACTTGAGACCAGAAGGTGGAACAACATACAGACGCTAACAGAGTAACATGAGCAACTGTCACCCCCAAGTCTGAAGATGTCTCCCAAAGCAACCCCATATATCTTCCTCTACTTGTGTCACCCATTGTAACAACACATCCATGAATGGCTAGAATTGCTGCCACTCCCTATGCAACATGTAGGTGTTCACATCCTGTTGGATACTGGTGAAATACACAAAAGAGTTGACGGTGGTGTCTCTCTGTCTGGGGCATCTGAGTTAGATCTGAAAGTCCCTTAGTGCAGACACAATGTTCTGTTGGTTGGTCCTTTATCTATAACCTGACCTTGTGTACTGCTTAGAGAGAGAAGGGGGAATTAGCCAGGCACTATTCTCTTAATGGAGTACAGATATAATGTAATATACACTATATATACATAATAAGGTAAATAGTGGCATATTCAGTAAGGGTATACAAAACTTTCTCAACACAAAGTCTAACAATAATCCCAATCAATCAAAACATTTTTTTTTATTTAATAAGGTAAGTTCGCACTCGTCTCTGCCCTGTGCTCGGAACTGCAGTTTTGCATGCAGAGCGGCAATACTCACTCGTAAATATGCCGTTCCCCTCATGGCTACTGTTGTGTTCAAATTTTGAGACTGAATAAACACCATACATGGTCCTCCACCGACGGATGGCTGTCCTCTGATTGAGAATATATATTAAGATTAACTTTTGGAGCTGATGTTCAAAGGTCAAGGTCTTTAAACATATGTTCCAAAAAAATAATTTGACCATTTTAAGATTATATTGATCAGAAAATGATCTTCTTTGTTTTGAGATCCTGGACCAGAGTTATTGACTGAGCTGAACTGATTACTAAGAAAATCCGAAGTGCAATTCTTCAATTCTGTATTTGCCTTTGTTTTTCCTGTCCATATTTATCTAATATAATGATTGGAAATTTGACATATGATGTCGTTCAGTTTATTCCACTGCTTCGCAAAATCCTTGATGAATTTGAAAATAAGGGTCATATGTACATTGAATGCATGCTTACTTTTGGGAGGTTCGATAACAACTCAGACTTCTAAAATTACTTAAACTGCTCAGACACCCGATACAGGAAGACAATGGCATGAATCAGTTGGACATGACAGACACAATTCTAGCCTAGAATTAGCCCCTGTATTGGAGTGATTGTTTTGAAGTTTGTGCCAGGGGTGGTCCTATAGTCACTGAGTACAGGGTCAATAAAATCTCAAATTTGCGTCTTCTGGAAAGTATGAATCTTAGCCCCTGCTTTCAGACAGGCTTGTGCTTATTTTAATTTGAAATTAAACTATACTATTCTGGAACTGTCTGTCCGACATTTGAAATCTGGTGAAAGGTAATTTTGGTTCCTTGTGGCAGAAAACACCCAAAACTCTTTCTGGGGGTGTGGTCACACATTCATTAATGCAGTTGAATCTAATTTCACCACAATCGACTCTGCAGGAAGCCGTGCTGAGGATTTACTTTGCCACAGGAAGTGAATGTTTTATTCGTCTTCTCACTCACACAGATTGGAGGTGAACAGGAGGCAAATGTATGTCGTGACTGTATATTACACATGGCATCTATTGCTACACGTGGAATTTATTGCACTTCTGTCCGTCCTGGGAGAGGGATCTCTCACATGTGACTCTCTCTGAGGTTTCAATGTCCTTTTTCCCCTGTTAATAGGTTGTTTTTATGTAGTTTTTACTTACTCTTGTTGAGGGTACAGGATGAAGACGCGTGTTAAAGCCCCACGAGACAGATTGTGATTTGTGACTATGGGCTATATCAATAAAATTTGATTTGATTTCATATATTTAGTGAGATGCATTGCTATGATGAACAAAGAAACGTACACATTGTAATTATTGATGTATTCAGAACAGTTGACTTTGACTTTGATGTAGAAAATGCATTGTAGTGTCTTCAAAACATGTGTCCATGAGTCACACATGCAGGGTCAACTTTGGAGTGTTATGCCACTATCACTGAACGGTTGTTCTTGTAAAAGATGTTTATAAGGTCATTTTAATAACGTGTTTGTTTAACATGGTTGTTTTTGTATCTGCTCTCGTTTTTCAGGCATACCGCATCTTTAACACATGGATGGGTGATCCATCAAAGAACCTGTTCCTGACTGAGGTTCTCAATGTCATTCGCAGAGAAAGACTTCTGGAGGAGGTTACCCGTTCTGGGAAAGCTCTGTTAAATGGTCTATATGATCTACAGGTACTTAATTTTGTGTAGGCATTTGTTTATTTGTTCATTTGTTCAGGTTGCCCAAATTTACCAAAAAAGAGACCCATTTCAAATAAGCATAGATATCATCATGGCATGAGTAATAAAATATGAACCAAATATAGCTTTTATTCTCACATATTCTGGAAAATGCAAGTCGTTCGCCTCATTTTCACTCAGTGTTTGCTGTAGGCTGATTTTATTATGAAAAGATTTTAGTTTATCAGAGTGTATCCAATATTATGGTCTAATTTTATGACCAAAGCTGCATTTTGTGAATCTCTCACTACTTTGCTCAACAGCAGGGCTGAGCTCCACTGCATGCACACACACACACACACACACACACACACACACACACACNCACACACACACACACACACACACACACACACAGGCAAACAGCACAGCAGTGTGTAATCCCTGATACATTTTACTCAGTTATTAAAGAAATAGAAACAGATACACATATTCAAAATATACAAAAAATACTAAAAAACCAAATAAAACACAGACACACCCCATCCCCCACACCCAGGCCTCTTTATTAGAGTGTCTAGTACCAAACCTCTATAGTTGTTGTGAACATACATCTTCTGATGCCTCTGGACACTTCTTCAGTGATGTTCCTGGAATCATCGGGTGTTTCGGGTCTTTCAGCATCATACACCCTCCTCCAGGTGACCCAGCCAGGGCTGATCAGACCCCCGCTTGTGTCCAGATGGCTAGCTACTCTGACTCCATGGCTCTCCTCTTTTGAGCCACAGCCATCTTGAGGCTCTCTCTGCCGCTTCGGTGGTACTGCGGATGGCTCTCCTCTTCCTCTCTCCTTCGATCCCCAATCTGCTTAAGGCTCTTACTAGCAAACAGGCTGCGAAACCCCTGCACCGCCGTGCAGCCCGATAATTGTAAATGGTCACAACTGCTTCAGCCAGTGTCCAGCCTCCACCCCCAACATATACAGGGCTGTGGGGGCCTGTGCGATCATGCTTTATGTGAATATGACCTTAATGTGTGTGATCATGGCCTAAATGTGTCTCACCCCCAGGCTAAATACCCTGGCATACTGAGCCGCGCTCGAGGGCAGGGGACCTTCTGTGCCATTGATATCTGCGATGATGAAACACGCAACAAAATCTTGCTCAAGACCAGAGACAAAGGTATGAGGCACATCACCATTCAGTCTTATTTTTGTGATTTGGAGACATGCATTCATTGTGGCACCCTCTGATGTTCAGCAGGTACTGTAGTTCACGTCACAGTGTGGCTCGTCATGGTGTCACCCTGCAGGTTAGCCCCTGCTTTCGGAATGCACTGGCGATACAATGAGCATGACATGACCAAGGGACATAGTCCTGTCCCTAAGGTGTTCATAAGGAATTCACAATTGAGAGGTATTTTAAAACAGGTGGAATGTCTTCGGGGTTTTTTTTTTTCTGCATTACAGTAGTCCAATCAACAGGTCTGCCTCTGGTAATGTCTTTAAGTAATAGAAGGCTCATCATCTATACCCCTCGACACATGCCAAAAACTCATGACTGAAACATATACATCAATACTTTTCTCCATAAACCATTTCACGCTTGTGAGCGGCTTTTTTTTCTTAGAGAGACTGAAAAAATTTGGCATGAATGCCAGCATCCGCACAAACTTCTACGGGCGTAACATCGAGAGCTTGCTGACAGGTTGCATCACAGTCTGGTATGGAGTTTGTTCAGCTCACAGCCACAAATCACTGCAGAGATTACTAGAGTCGGCACAACACGTCACTAGAAACAGTCTCCTGGCCATCCAGGACATTTACCACCAGCGATGTCTGTGGAAGGCACACAACATCATAAAGGACTACAGCCACCCAGCACGCAGACTGTTCACCCTGTTACCATCTGGCAGAAGGTGCGGGGCTGCACGCACCACCAGATTTAAGAATAGTTTCTACCGTCAGGCCATCAGGTTCCTAATCTTGTCGTCAACATGTAACTCACAACCCTCTGCGCATCTTTTTTCCTGCTTGTTTATTTGGAAATGTCACACATGGTGCAATAACTGTTCGCACACACTCCATAAAGTTCAAGTACCTTTCAATGTATATATTCTTAGTTTTGTATTGTATTGCATTTTACTTTACCTTGCTTTGATTTTAATTTAACTATTGCACTGCTGAGCTGACCGGTTTCTTCTTGTCCAACACCATTCATTGTACTGTTGACCCTGTGTTAACTGCATATGACATATGACAATAGAACTTGAAACTAATGAGGTAGAGCGGGTCGTCCACTAACCAGAGGGTTGGCAGTTTGATCCCAGTTGTCCTGGGCCAAGTGTCAGACCAAGTGTCCTGGTCTGAAAATGTGCGATTGCTACTGTGTAAAATAAACTCAGCACAAACATTCATGTGAAGTTGGATGACAGACAGAAGACTGTCGTTGAACTGTATTGCAATATAGTAATCGTGTATTTCATTGACAGGTGTCCTCCTCGGAGGGTGTGGGGATCGATCGATCCGTTTCCGTCCAGCGCTGGTTTTCAAGGAGTACCATGCTCACATCTTCCTCAACATCTTCAGTGACGTCTTGGCCCAGTACAAATAAATGCTGACCCTGGAGGAACCTGACATTAGAGCCTAAATTAATCTGGAGGGAAGGCAGGGAAACTCCTGACAGTCCATGTAACAACAAGCACAATCCACCTGATAACTCAGATATCCCACATAACCTCTGATTAAGTTAGGTGTAGAGCAGCGTGGCTGAGTTCTCATATTTTTAGCCAGAAATTACTATAGTGATGTCTTCTTACATGTGCTGCCGTAAAGATCTATCCTGAAAAACAGATACCAGTAGGTGCAATTGCAATTAGTTAAACACGATCATGTTTCTGTAAAATAAATCTATTGAAGAGGCTCCAACATTTAAACCTTTCTCATCTGGATTTGTATTCTTGTATCGAGGATAACGTGACTAGCAGTTCTAGTCTAGTCTGTCTAGTCACTCTATAATGTCAGCAAATCTTGCACCTTCTGTTTTACCCTAAATACTATGGCTACTAACTTCTTAAATGAAACGTTCTGGAAAAAAGATTGGCTATCGTATCCAAAGTCTGTACTAGAAGCAAGAGTCAAGAAATATTTTATATCCTCTTAAAGGTCCAGTGTGTAAGATATAGGTGAAAGGGGTCTTTTGGCGAAAATTGAATATGAAATAATCCGTGGGATATTTTTTACTTGTGTGTTCAATCTAAATGGTACGAATTGTTTCTTTTATTTATCTGAAAATGGGCCCTTAATATTTCAATACTTTATATTATCCAAACAGGACAAACTAAACACCTTTTGAGTTTTTATGACAACTGAAGGCTACCACAGGTTCTCAACCAACGAAATTCTACACACTGAACCTTTAACTGATTCTTGTTGAGATATCCTACAACTGCATTTCCCAAAAAGTAGCACTTCAATATTCAGACTAATTTGTCGTTTCATTTAGAAAACACATACCATTTTCTGGTTATTCTCAAATGCTTTTCATGTTAATGGAAAAAAGAATTTTCTGTGAGGCACAGTAAAGTACCTGTAAAGCTCTCATTCATTATTGTCTTATTGGCGTGATGTTTTTTACAGTTCGCCTTTTCTTAATCTGGCCAATAATGTAATAGCTTGATATTTTGCCAACCTTGAATGGAATCGTTAATGTGACCTTGTTGAATCACTGAATAAACCTTATATGTCTGAGGTTCAAAGATCAGGAACCACATTTAACATGTGGGTTTGTTCCTTTAGCAGGTAGCACAGCAGTAGACAGATAGATAAATAAGAGGACAAAGATGCCACCTCACTTTATGACGCAGTCTTGCATAAAGTTTACTCAAGTGCTCATATGCCACTTACATCCCACTGCCCGTAACACAGAGAGACAGTAAAGATGCCAGCCTGCATGTCATTTGATGTTGCCCATTAGAAATGCCCTTGTTATGATTCTAACTGTCGTGTTGCTCTTAACAGGAATAACTTTTCAGCCTGAAATGTTGTAGCCCAGAAAATGTGAATCTTAAATGGACCAGGAAAATGTTAGAGATTATTTAGTGCCTGCATGTTACTTAAATGTGTTTTTTTTTCTTTGCCACTGGGTCAGATAGCAGTAGCCATTGATCACCTTAATAGAACTAAACTTTGGACACATTAATTTTACTCTTGAACAAGAGCGTCATATCAGTTGCCTTTTTTTCAGAAAATAATATTATTACTTCCGACGTTCAACTCACTTAATTAAGATTACAAATTCACCACTTCTTATTTGTGATAGATGACCGAAATAATGTCATAGTCGGCAGGCGTTAATAACTAAGCCAATGAGGCTTGTTTGGGACAGGCTCACTTATAATAAGCTTGTGCCACTTGTCTAGGTAAAGTTTTACGAGTGGTTTCTATTTTTGTCTCATGGAGAAAAACTCACAGGTAGCTGAGAACTATGGCTCTTTTGGCTTTTCCCCTTCAAGCCACGAAGAGGCACCAGTGAGCCCATTCCACACTTAAAAACACATTTCTTAAATGACTTATTTTTTCACTTCATCTCAAGAGATGAATGCAAAGATTCAAAGTCTCCAATATATGTTAACTAGAGCAGCACACTACCCTGAGCTTTTAACTTTTCCTGTGGGTGAGACAGATCCAGACTTATCCATGTGTGGTGAAGTTGCTTGACTTGAAGCACAGGTTCATTATGTAGGGCTGTCTTAAGACACATTAGATCCAACGTAATACACATAATAAATTCTTGATTAACTTATCAACACAATGTATCATTACTTCCCATTTTTATTTTGTGAATCTGTCCAAAAGCTGATGTTCTGATTTCCTAGAACCTTCTTCGGTGTCTGCGAATGTTCCATGGAGCTTCTAGGCAAGTCTAAAGAATGTGTATCAGTTTTTAAAGTGTTACCATAATAATTTCCCTGTCATTATTCATTTCCTGAGATTCAATACAGTATATATGAATATATTTACATCTATAAACATCCATGATGCAAAATTGATATCCCATTAATGTAATGTAAATAGTTGTTAAACATTTAACTGGGGCAGTTTTTCTTGTATGAAGTTGTTCTTAGTCCTCATGACATGACTATTTGGACTTGTGATCTAAGATAGATGATTATTGATTACTGTAGATGGTTATATCTGTTGTCTATAAAACATTGTCTACGTAATGTGATCAATAAATTAAGTTTTAACTTTGTACAGTTTAATTTCCTAACTGTAAATGTTCTTTTTTTGACCTAAAAATAGCAGTTTAACAACACAAAATGTCTATTTTTGCTGCAAGTAGCATTGCAAGTTCATGCATGGGGTGCTTGATGGTGCATGACACGTTGCACATTTTGTATAACTTCCCATGTCCATTGTGTAGCAATGGAGAACCCACTTGAGACATATACTGTATAATTTTGCTGGATATAGAGTCTGGAGCAGACCATGACAAGTTTAAATAATGATTCATACAATCGTTATTTCATGTAGGTGCCACTGTCAGTAGGTGTCAGTAGGTAACATCTGCAAACATCTATGGTAGTTGGTAACTTAAATTGTGCAGAAGACCTTGAAACGTACAAGGGATATCGACCAACTCGTCCTATATTCTAAAACAGAATAACGTCTCTTTGGTGGCAAAACATTGAAAATTGCTATGCTACCACAGTAATGCCATCAATAATAAATATAAAAGTGCCACAAGTTTGTTTAAATATGTTACCTATAAATGGGAAATCATGACATCATGAAGTTGCTGATTAAATACCTAGACAATGCTTCTGTGTCATCAATAGGGACATGTCTGTGAAGATTCTCAGTCGTCCAGGTCATGGCATCTCCAGAAGTTGTAAAAGTGTATGTAGACAACTGGACTTGCTTGTGTTTCATGAAGACGTTTCACCTCTCATCCAGGAGGCTCCTTCAGTTCTAACTGACTAATGGGAGATCAAATTTGAAGTTGATCAGATGGATCCTCTAGTTCTGGAATATGGGATTCATATACCCATTGATTTTCACGCATTTTGGTAAAACGTGCCGCAGGAGCTGCACTTTGTGGGGCGCTATCGGGTAGATTAGGCACTCAGAGTTGCACATGTTTAGCATGTGATTCATTGGGAGGAGAAAAAATTATGATTCCATTAATTTCCCCACAAATCTCATCTGGATCCTGTGTGTGAGAGCAGGAGAGAGGGAAGTGGGAGGGGAGAAAACACAAAGTAACATGTAAATAAATGGGGGAGGGGACAAAGGGAGAGAGAGAAGTGCTCAGTGTATGATGGAGCATCTGTCCATGTTGAAACACAACCATGTGGAAGTTAAAGTTCACAATATCATCATTAGTAAAAACAAAATATGGAAGTCTGTGTGCAATGCACAAAATATATCCACTCACAGAGCAACATATACCAGGAAACTCTGAATATCATCTACTTTTAAATTATTTCAACACCTCAGTTTGTGTTTTAACCTCAATGATTGATTCCATTGTTACTTCCTGTAATCGATGATTAAATGTTCCCTTTAGATAATCTGAAAACATCTTTCAGTTGGAGGTGCATGTGATTCTGAAACCTTTCATGAATTGTAAGCGTGGCTCATATGTTTGTCACTGTGAGAATCCTGTTCCAAACACAATCCTTACAGATTCTCCATCACACACTTCTCTCACCGCGTGACGTTTCCCATCGTGAGGAGGAAAACTTTTTTTTTTTACTATCGCGCCGTGTTTGGTGCCTCTGCGTGTCAACGTGGCGGTCGACAGCCAATGAGAGAGTACTCCACCACTACGTCCCGCGTTGTCATTGGTCGGAGTCCATGTTAGGCTGCTGTTAATTGGGTATCTGAGACAGAAGCCGCCTCCCCCCCCCCCCGACTTCACTATTTATATGTGAAGCCTGCCAACTGTGACTGATCTGCTGTGCACGAACGGAAGGGAGCTGTCGCGAGAAGCTGCGGGGCGCTGGTAAGATGGTGTAATCTTGTCTTTAAGAGTGTTGGAGGAAAAGTGACGCGCAATATGAATTATTTCACACAGTGAGCAGCATGAGGAGAAAGAACGCGTGCAGACTGCAGGGGTGGGGGTGGGGTGGGGGCAGCCACAGGATCAATCTTATCAGTGTAGTAATATTATGGCAATGGAGTGAAATTGAGATAAACGATGGATGGAGGTGGATCCTGCTCGTGGTGTCGGCTGATCGTGGACTATTATTACTATTTAATATTAAGACTGCGTGATATTCAGTAGACCTACTCACATATTCTACCATTACTGGAAATCACTCGTCAATTCATTTGTCATTGCTGCTCCCTTCATCTCTGTCACACATTTTCATAAGTGTATACACTTCAGCCATGTTTCCATCATGTTCAAACCCGTTGTTTCTAACCAGTGTTATAAGTCATTGTGTGGATGTTCTCAGTTACACGTGGCATCTATTGCACCTCTGTCCGTGCTGAGAGAGGGATCCCTCAAATACGGCTCTGAGGTTTCTAACTTTTTTTTATCCCATCAATAGTTAGTTTTTTTATTTTTGTAATTCTTTTTTATTTTTTCCCTCACTCTTGTTGAGGGTTAAGGGCAGAGGATGTCACACCTTGTTAAAGCCCTATGAGACAAATTGTGATTTGTCAATATGAGCTATACAAATAAAACTTGACAGAGCGAAGACATCAGAGAGTTATTCCATCCACTGTCTGATGTCTGACCTGCTGTCCTCCTGTGCTTTTCTGTCCATATGGACATTTACAGTTAAAGAGCAGAATTGTGTTGGTCTTTGTCAAGTGAGTCTGCAGATGAGGTGGTCATAGTACTGTAATAGAATATAGAGACTGGGGCACAAATGCTTCTTGGAGATTCATGTGTATTCAGTGTGTCAAGCAGCATTTCATAACAGCCCTGCTGTACGTATCAAATATCTTGTTGCAGTTATGACTGCTGATAATACGTGACTTATTTAAACTCATGTAATGAGCACATTTCATCTCCTCAGTAGTCTCAACAGTTTGAGCCGTGTGCTAACATTTACCCACCAACCCGCTTTGACCACCTGAACCCCGGGCTCAGAAAGAATCTGGTCTGAACAGAGGAAGCAGTAAAACCCGGCTGAATCGGAGTCACCTGTGCATTGTTGGGTGGAGGCTCTTCTGGGCCTCTATCTCCTAAGTTTGACACTCTGACCTCTTGGGGGTGCTGTTGTACAGTTGGCGTTTTAAATGAAAAACTGAGCTGCAGACCATGCTGTACTTTATTTCATTTTATGTCATCATGTTTTATGCTTTAGGTATTTAAAACTTCTACTCTGTTTTGTTCTATACTGAGCAGTTTGTATTTTCCTTCTCTGTGCCACTCCATCATGCGTCTCCATCACACTTCTCCAGTTGATCATGATGCTGCTCAAGTCACTTGTGTCCCTCTGCGTCCTGGCTGCGGTTGCCTTTGCTGTCCCTGCTCAGGAGAAGCGCATCCATCACCATGCCGATTTGAGTGACCATGACCACAATGATGCTCACGGCTTCCAGTATGACCATGAGGCCTTTCTGGGCAAGGAAGAGGCCAAGACCTTTGACCAACTGACCCCCGATGAGAGCAAAGACAGATTAGCGTAGGTTTAGCTGACCTTCAGCACACTCTTTCTAAAACTATAAAGGGCTGCTGCCAACTGCCTCACCAACAGTCGTGGCAGCTTCAAAGTTAGTTCTTGTGTGTTTTTATTTCCTCATCAAAGAGTTTTGTACCAAAGATATTAGCGTTATTTAGGGCAATTTTGTGTTTTACTTTCAAAAGAATAGAGGGAGCAGATTATTTCACTTTCATATGTCAAAGTGTTAAGATAGAAGTGTGGAGATAAAACTACCTCTAAAGCTGCATTCTCCAGCTAACATTGTTGCAGAATCGAAAAGGCTGTACAGTCACTATGGACCAGTCATTTTGGTGTTGATTGAAACATTAAAAGAACAATCAGCGTCCTCTATCATTTACAAGAGAAAATCCTTCCATTTCTTACCTTATTCATAATTCTGACCCAATCACTCTCCACAGAAAGATTGTGGATCGCATTGACACTGATAAGGACGGCTATGTCAGCCATACAGAGCTGCACTACTGGATCAAACACCGGCAGAGGCGGTACATTGAGGAGAATGTGAACAAACACTGGCACGAGTACGACAAGAACCAGGACCAGAAGATTGCCTGGGAGGAGTACAAAAATACCACCTATGGATACTATCTGGGTAATTCTTTGTGTGTGAAAGATGTTCCTCATTTCTAACTTGTATAACTCATCTCCCTCCATGTAATTGATATACTTCTCCATGTCTTATTTCTTCCACCCCCTTGTCTTTTCCAGCCCCTTCTTTGTAGCCTAGAAACAGATTTTTAGTGCTGCCATCATGTCAGCTACCTTGGCAAGTGTGACAGAGGGGACGTGTTCATCTAGGGACTGCATAAGTAACAAGCATCTTCTGACAGGCCACTTTTCTAAAACTACTATCAAATTACATGAACCCAGCTCCAGTCAGTGAGTGTTCCGTCTTAGAATAATGTCTAGAATAACTGGTAAAACCAGCCATAACTGACACATAACAAAAAAGTTGGTTTTACTCCTGTTATACAAGTTTACAGTCCATCCATCTGTCCCTTATGTGATTCACTTATCCATGTGTGGGTCGATGGAGCCTGTCCCAGCACACACTGGGTTACAGATATTGTATACCTGTCCTGACTCTTCTTTAAGAAAACCCCACAGTATGTGACAAAATCATTTCAACTCAGACTTTCACTTACCTGCTGTCTAGGGCTTTTAGCCACACCTTGTGGCCTTCATCAGCAAATGGAACTGAGATATTTGCCTTTAGGTGATTCATATAAACTTTCACACTCCCAAAATACCAAACCAAAGCTAAATTACACGTGACATTGTAAAAAATGTCACTTCAAATTCCATGTCTGTTCTGTAGCTTTCAAAAATATTGCATTGAACTTCATCAGCAAATAGTTAGCTCAGTTTTCATGGATTTTAGTGGATGTTAAAAATGTATGCGTTCAAACTAAAATGGAACACTAGAACACCTGTATTGCTTAACAATTTGACTTTTGTGATTTCAGATGAGGAGTTTGATGACGTTGAAGACAAGGCCACCTATAAGTCCATGCTCCGGCGCGATGAAAGGCGCTTCAAGACAGCTGACCGAGACGGTGATGGTGTTGCCACACGGGAGGAGTTTACTGCGTTCCTGCACCCTGAGGAGTTTGATTACATGAAGGACGTGGTAGTGCAGGTAAAGTCGACTCTCTCACCATTGACAACTAAGATCAGAAGACGTTTTTGTCAAGCTGATTTTGCTCTATAAAAGTCAGTCCCAGTAGTCTGTCTGCCACTTTGGTCCTCGCTTAAAAATGTCCCAGTTTATACTGGATGAATGGGCATCAGAATTTGTATGGACATTCATGGTCCCCAGAGGAGGAAATGGAGTCACATGCTGAACCTGTGTGTGTTGAGTTTGCATGTTTTCCCTGTGCATGTGGTACATGGAGGTTAGGTCGACTGGTGATTCTAAAATGCACATAGTTGTGAATGCCTCTTGCCCCACTGACATTAATAGGTATTACATTTTTGAAGATCTAACATTGCATCATAGCTGTCGAGCAGGACAGCTAATACTATTCATACAGAAGACAAACACCATACTTGTAGGCTTCACCTTCTCACAGAGCTCATATTATTCAGAAACCTTGGAAGGAAATTACTGAAAATAACCAAACGATTTTCTTTTTGTAGGAGACAGTGGAAGACGTTGATAAAAATGGGGATGGCAAGATCAACCTAGATGAATACATTGGTGGGTGACTGAGTTATGTTTCCAACCAGCTGCTCCACTTGTCACCTGGAGGCAATCTGCCCTAAATGTGTGCCTTCCGCTCCACAGGCGACATGTACACACCAGAGAATGGGGAGAGCGAGCCTGAGTGGATCCAGACAGAGAGGAAACATTTTAAAGAGTTCAGAGATTCCAACAAGGTAAAGGCTTCTCAGCTATTCACTTATCTTTTCTCAACACGGCAACATGAGTTTGTCACAGCTGGCACATGCAGGGACACTGCAGCAGAGTGGCGACAGGGGGTTATTTACCTGGGAGGGTACAAGACTGGACTGAACAAACACAAATGCAGTGAACTGAAAGGTTTTGTGTGGTGGATGCTTTTTATCAAAACTGTGTGTTAAAGGATAACTCAGACATTTGTGTTCACACATGCACCTCCTCCAGAGAAAAGTGGGACTGCATGTCTGACAGCACCTCCTCAGTAATACCCTTGTGTGTCGTCCAGGATGGCTACCTGGATGGTGGTGAAGTGGCCCAGTGGATTTTGCCAGGAGAGGTCGACCATGCCGACAATGAAGCCAAACACTTGATCCATGAGACAGACACGGACAAGGTAGACCTGCCAGTGCTCAGACCTTTGCCACAGATAGACTGTCTTTGGCACTGACACATGGAAACTAAACCACACACCTCATAACTATTGTTTATCGATACCAGATCCCAGAATTATTTTGGGGTTTGCTTTCATATTAATACCATCGCTGAGGATTAACATCTGTAGCTGGTGGTGATGCAATTGTAAACGGGGAGAAGAGAGTGAAAACTAACTTGTGGTGGGTTCAAAGTTTCAATGAGGAAAATGGGTAGCAACTGAAGAGTATATTTAATCCATGCAATTCCATGCACTGATATTTTAACTGATATGGTTAGAGTTTGTTTTTATAACCTAGATTTGTTACTGTCAAAGCCCATGTGTAGAATTGATCCAAAAGTGAATGTATGCAAAGACTGATATATTCTATTCCACTGAGCCATAGAGCTCCCTCTGATTAAAACACACAAGTAAGCATGTTGCACTTGGTGGCATGTTCATCACTATTACACATACACAGTAGTTTTCTTCTACAGGGCCACCGTCCTGCTGCCACAAATGTGGATTAATCCACTGCTGAAAATAGGCCATAACATATAGTGTAGGGTATTTCCTTGTTTTTGTTTGAAATCAGAATAAGTGGCTGTTTTAACTGAGGTAACAAAAACAAATTATACATTTATGAGCTTCTGCCAGGACAGAGAAATCAGAAAAATGGACCATTTGAGAAATCTAGATTGACAGCAGTCATGGACCTTGAGATATGTTATCTTTGAGTAATCTGCAGTAATGTACACTCAGTGTGCAGCGAGTTGGCAGTTTATTAATAATAGCCCTGCAATATTTCATAAAGCCTGTCATAAGTTTCTTTTGAGAATGTATTACACAATGTTTTACACATTGTTAAATTTAATCTCATTGTAGTTTGTCGTGGTTTCTCTGGAATGCTGAAAATGATTGACTTTAATCAGAAATACAGACTAAAACTAAAGTTACAGAAAAGAAGTCAATACAGCAAAATGATGTAAAAAAAACACAAAATGCATTAAATTGCACATATGAAGATTGCAGGGAACATGTCCATACAGTATACTTCATTACTACCCACACTGCAAAAGGACAATGTGCTTCATGTAACCGAGAACAACTGTAAGGACAGGTACAGGATTCATACTGTCATCATATGTCTATGCTGTCAAGTATATTGGTAAGCTTAGTGGAAATAATTGGGCTAATTGTGGTTTAATTATTAACAAGCTTCTCTTTCTCTTGCCCCCCCACCCCACCCCACACCCCTTCTCTCAATCACAAACCAATAAACCAAATAACAGGACGGGAAAATGACCAAGAAGGAGATTCTGGCCAACTGGAACATGTTTGTGGGCAGCCAGGCAACCAATTATGGGGAAGATTTAACGAAGAGACACGATGAACTTTGATGAGCCTTCACTCTCCAATATTCCAGCTACTATGGAGAATTTGGTTACAGGGGTAGTTGTGTGTGTAATTTCTGACTTTAAGTTGGGCCATAATCAAGGGTATAATCATGAACCTTTGTACCCACATATTCAACTTTACATTCACGTGCAAAGAGACATAGAGTTCAGCATGCAATCACATACCATGTATGTGAGCACAGAAAATACTGATAGTTCTGAACATACTCTTCCTTGTTTTATTTGCATATTCATTAGTTTGTTTACTGAGCTGTCTATCCTCATAGGGATCATACTTTCCACGAAAAAAAAAACATTCTGTGTATCATGTCAAAATGTGGGTATATCTGAGACACTTGTGTTTATATAGGCCAAAATGCATGTGACCTTTTTTTGTCAAAGTGCAGGAAACAGACAATTGAAACAGTGGAAAAGAGGGGATTTGAAGACCAAAGGTGTTTTACTGAGGTTTTCAGGCTTCTGTTTATTAAATAAAACCCTTTTTTTTTCAATCAAGTGTAGTTTTTATTTTGCGCTTGATATGATTGAAGCTGTTAAATGTAGTATGAGAATAGTTTTTCTGCTTTTTATCAGATTCCTCGCTGTTCTGCTCCAATTTTCTTGCCTGTATTTCATCTGAAGGCGTGGCTTTTCTAACTGCTGTAGTGATGCTTGGTGGTAAATTCAGTACTAACATCTATCAATCTTCAGCCAAATTGTTTAGCCATGAAATTATACTATCAAATCATCAAATTTCTTTCCTCTTTGGTCCACCTCAGGTGGAATGCTCCTAGCTTTTTTTAATTAATACATGTCCTAAATAATATCACTATTATATCAGTGATATTGATTTCAGTGTTGGTGCCCAGCCTAAGCAGTGGTATCCTGGAACAGGAAAAAATTGAGCTGAAAAAGAACTGTGGGCCTCTTTCATCAATACCTGAAAATAAGAATTTTATTAAATTCGTTCACAAGAAGTTTCCAAAGTAAACTCTACGTCACATTTATCACACGTTCTTAAACCGCAAAATTGTTCACATCTGTGTTCTTATATTGATGAATGCCAGGTCTTTGTAAATTGAGAAGGCTTGTCATTTTTTTCCCAATTAGCATAAGTAAATGTCCATAAAAGGGCATGAGACTGCAGTGCTGTGCACACACAGAGAAATCCCAGAAACTAAAATGAACATTTAAGAAGCCAGAATTGATTGAACGAAAATCTAAAGCACTCTTGAGCGTAACAAAAAAAAAATGTCTTCAATTATGTGACTTTTTCCCAATGTAGCTTTCACCAATCATGTAATTGTATTGTTTTCGTGGTACTTTATGTCAAAATAGATATTGTCAAACAGGAGAGAGGGGGAAGGAAAGAGAAAAAGGAAGGTGCATAGAGCATCATAGAGTTTCCAGTGATGCAGCGCATCATTGAAAACAGCACTGCAGGTGAGCCCTCAGCTGAGCATCTGTGGATACTCCACCTGAGTCTGATGGACCCATTGGGACCAGACATGGTTTCCAGCATCTTGTGTTTGAAACCAAAGGGAGTAACTACTCAATATCAGTGTGGTGTCCCTTATAAAGTGCGCATTGAGTGTTACTCAACACATCTTTTTACATTTGTTAATTATTAGTGTGTGTTGAACAAATAAAAATGTAATTTAAGGTTTAATTATGGACATGTACAGAATCTTGCAGCCGAATCTCATGGTGTAAATTAATTTGCACAGTTGTGGAACTCACAAGCTACTTGACACAAGACTATGTCAACTGTTAACGGTACAAATGAACTTTAAAATCAACATAGATTCAAAGTCCATCAAAGTTAGGCCTGAAGTGAGACTGTGCCAAGATCCAAACTGCAAATACACCAACTTAGATTGTCTACAGATACAGTAAAAGTATCTGTAAAATTCATGTAGTATCGCACCTTTCACAGAGCAAAGTAACAAGGTGCTTCACGAAAGTAAAATTGTTACACATCACAATGATCATGGTATAAAAAATGCATATATGCAACATAGAAGATGATATTCAATTCAATTTTATCTGTAAAAATCCTGTGTTGCAAAACTGTCGAGCACAAGGTGACACAAAGGCCAGTTTGAATAAATAGTTGTTTTTTAAAGGAGTCAACAGATGATGCAGATTGTAAGTCAATATGAGTATCCCATAGTGTCTGAGCTACAACTTTCAAGGCACAGAAAAGTCCATAGGACGACAGGTAACTACGGAATTGCAATAACCTAAACAGGATGAAACAAAGGCATGAATAATAATTGCGGCTGTTTGTGGTGCAATCATTTCTTGAATGAAGAACACAGTTGGGTTAATAATGTTGACAAAGTTACAGGCCTTCACATCTCTAACCAAGAAGCAGAACTCAGTTATAAGGTTTTTATAACGGAGACGGTGCACATTTAAGTGATTGTATCACACTGTGGATTCATTGTCTTGACCCAAACTAAGAATGTTACCTGGGATGGTGTTTGATGTCTTGAAAACAGACTCCTGACACATAAATTGCTCAATGTGCAATTAATAATTGGAACACATTAAAAGTATTATGCAGTATCACCATTATATAAATATAATAGACTCTTATGCTACTGATTCGGTGTTTTTCCCATTAAGGTATAGGACATAATTGATACACAGAAGGAAAATATATGAAACTGTATAAATGTTAAGAAGTAACAAACTCAATCAGTGAAATGACTGTCAAGTGCTGCAAGTAATTATACTTCTTATGCCATGTACATTATTTGTGTGTTTTGTCAGACTATTGAATCTAAGGATGTAGTTTTGTAGCAACATTTATTGGTGAGAACAAATGTGCATTTGTCCGAAAACACCAGACACTCTTCAACAAGGGTAAGTGCTGAATGGTCCTCAGGTTCACAGGATTTTCAGGGCTATTTGGATGCATGAACATAAGCAGAGTGGTGTTCCTCTCTTGCCCGTCAAGGCTTTCGTGTCCTTCTAATGATGTGTTCTGCTCGTCAGGATGGCCTGCTGTCTCTTTCCGAGCTACTGGACAAGATTGACTACATCAAGACCAGCACCATCACTGACTATGGAGGCATGAGGGTGGACGAGCACGATGAACTGTGAATAATCTATATTGTAGATTAGTCTCTTTGGTAATTTGTGATTTCGACCTGCTCTTGTTTGTTTCTTCTTTTAGAAGCACAGAAACCCTACTGTGGTTAACGTTCAGAAACCATTCGAAACACATGGATAATAAAATAAATCTCCACCAAACAATAAACACTGCCAGTCATGGTTTTCTGTATGTTTAATGTAAATCACATGAAATTAAGAGGTTCATATCAACAGTCTCGTGTTCACCTCCATTTGCTTCATGTCAGCTATGGAATGACATTTAAGTCTTACACAGACACAATTGTCTTTCTAATGTTGTAAATGGTTTGTATTTATATAGCACTTTTCTAGTCTTGATGACCACTCAAAGTGCTTTAGACTACAGTTTGCCATTCACCCATTCATTCATACAGTGCATCTATTAGCAGCACTTATTTTCTATGAGGGGATGAGGAAGACTGGGGATTGAACTGCCAACCTTTTGGTTGGAAGACAATCACGGTTGTGATGACACTCATTTATAAATGCAATTCCTTGCCCCTTTAATCAATCAAATCAATCAATTTTGATTTTGTTTCATAGGGCTTTAACAAGGCGTGACATCCTCTGCCCTTAACCTTCGACGAGAGTAAGACAAAACTACCAAATAAAACCTTTTAACAGGGGAAAGAGAACGTAGAAAGCTCAGAGAGAGCCACGTGAGGGATCTCTTCATTACACGTGTACGTTCTCCAAGCGTAATCACTAAATTCAACTTCAGGAACTCTCCCATTGTTACGCAGACAACACCCAGCTGTGCATTTCTTTGAAGCCTGATGAATAGTGCTTACAGCTAATGAAAACCCAAATTCAGTATCTCGGAAAATTTGAATATTGTGAAAAAGTTCAATATTGTAGACTCATGATGTCCCACTCTAATCAGCTAATTAACTCAAAACAACTGCAAAGGTTTCCTGAGCCTTTAAATGGTCTAAGGCTGGTTCAGTAGGCTACACAATCATGGGGAAGACTGCTGACTTGACAGTTGTCCAGCGGACAGTCATTGTAAATGACCATTAATTCTATAATTGTTTCTAAGGACATGTTGTTTTCATTTAGTTTCCTGATATGCTTTGAAGCCACGTTATTATTTAATTAATGAAATTAGACGCTAAATGCGGGACTTTTATTTTGAAAGCGCCTCGCTATGTATCAAAAGCATCCGTTGTTGTGTGCGTCTGCGGATTAAAAGTGTGACAGCAAGGTATTTACTGAAAAAGAGGAAAAGATAACTCTGTTTACCGAGCACCTGGCTGATCGAGGGCACAAGGTTTGTTTTCATATCACCTCATGACATGTTTAATGTGCAGTTCGAATCGCTGTGACTTTTGCGGTTTTGTATACTCTTGAGGTAATGTTGCGAGCTAGCGGTACAGCTAATTAGCATTAGCTCGGCTAATGTCCGGTCCGAAGTTAAATGTATTTTGAGTGAATTTATTATACAATAAGGTTATGAAGAAGTTAATTATATTTATTGTTATACTTTTTTCATAGCTCTTACGGTGCGTTCAAGTGTACAAGGTTCCTTCAATAAACACTTTGGACCATCAGTTGAAGAGTCTGATCAGGGCCGGCCCAAGCCTTTCGGGGGCCCTAAGCAGAATTTGATATTGGGGCCCCCCCTCCCACCTAGCGGAGTCATTTGCGCTCGACGATTATTGACAAAAATGTCACACTACAATGATTTGACAATGAATTAATTGAAATTATCAATTGTATTAATACTGAATTACGTAGATGTGATTTCCTGTATTTTTTATATGGCCAGCTGTAGAAGGGAAATACCTAAATTTAAGCATATTCATAGCATTTTGCTTTTTGACTTATTGAGATGGTGACTTGGGCTTGGGCTTCAGTGCCCCTTGACCTCTTGGGCCTGGAAGGCTCATTCAGTTGCTCTCATGCCAAAAATATTCTAGACTTTTGTCCCTTGATAGACCCCTGTATTATTATAGTCGTTATTTACACCAAAACAGTCACCTTTTAACCTTAGAGGGCACTTAGATCACAGATTTATTTTAAACTTTCATATTCAAAGTGAAGCATCAAGTGTGGTTTACTGAAGTTAAATTGTAAAATAATAAAATACCACAGCATTTTGTAATTTTTTTAAAGTATCAGTTTAATAAACAGATCTTTCAACAGATTTGTAAATGTGCAATCTTAAACTGAAATCAAAATACACGCACATTAATATTATCAAAAATAACATTAAAAAATAAAAAATAAATAATGATAGTGCCTCTGTATTCCAAACAAACGATCACAAACATATTAAATAAATAATTTGCAACTGTGCAAATGCGCATTAAGTTAGCAATTTCCAATTACAAAATAAAACCAAAATAGACAAGCATGAATATAATAAAAAATAGAACGTTACATAGATACATAGATTAAATAATGAAAGTGACTCAGTATTCAATTAACCTTTTAAACTAACTATTTGGAACTTCTAAAAATCAAACTGTTTCAAAACATTCAAATAAACGATATAACAAAACTGACAAGTCAGTAACATGACAGCAAGGGTTCAACAGTCAATTATTGTGAAAATATTCCCAACTGTCTCAATACAATGCAACTGTCCTCAAAATCTTTCCTTCCTAGCTTTTCGGGAGGCAAAGTCATTGATGACATCATTATATGATATTGCTTGGCCAACTTTGCTATTAATACTAATAACAGCAAGTCCACTTAATCTTTCCTGAGCCATCGATGATCTCAGGTATGTTTTAATTAATTTTAGCTTGGAAAAGCTCCTCTCTGCTGAGGCAACTGTCACAGGCAGAKKGCAGGCTATCCTGAGAGCTACCCARAGATTTGGGTAAACCTCACACATCTCGTTTTGTGAGAGGTATGTGAGCAGCTCAAGGGCGGTCATGGTTTGGGGAAAATCAGGAAGACTCTCRATCTCTACAGCCAGTGCGCTACCATCAACATCAGCCTCCTCTCCACATGAGAGTTTTTCCCCAAGAAGCTCACATTGTTCCCTCTGGACCTTTCGATYGAGCTCCTTAAAATTGAGCAGCACTCCAAAGTTTTCTTTGACCTCGCTTAGAGAATGAAATCTATCCTCCAATGACTGAATGCTACAGTCGACAACAGCATTAAAAAAGGACACTTCTAGCCTCTTCATTGCATCTGCCAACGGCTCATCTGCAGCCTCATAGGCAAAGTGCCTTTTTGTAGAGCGCAATCGCTTCTCTTTTAGAACTGCTTCTGTATTCATCCGCTCACAAATCTCTTTTGCAGATGTCTGTGCATCAGAGAAGCCTTTTTGCCGGTAAATGATCAGTTCACTTTTGTTCTTGTGTACAAGGTTTACAGCTACATCAAGCTGCATGTTGGTTGACTGTAGGAGCTTGCTGGTGATGTTAATTTTCGTCAAAATGTCAAACCAGACAGCACAACAAATCTGAAACCGAAATTACCCTATTTCTTCAGCAAGGGAGTTGGCTTCAAAAGCCACTACAGGGTCAGTGGCTTTATTCCTTACTTCTAACAGGGCTTCCCTCACCTTCTCTGCCTGGTAGCGCAAAGCTTCAATGCTTTTGATGCGGCTTTCCCAGCGCGTCTCACTCCAGGACTTGAGGGTGAGGTCAACAAACTGCCGTAAGATGGCCCACCTTTGAGTGGACCCAGCGAACAAATTGTATACCTTCTCCACATTTCCAAAAAAACGAGAAGCATCAGTTGATGCTTTGGCTGCATCTGAGACGGTCAGATTCAAGGTATGAGCACTGMAAGGCACATAAAAAGCTCTTGGATTTTTGTCCAAGAGCCTAGCCTGCACACCTTTGTTCTTCCCCTTCATATTGRCCCCATTGTCGTAAGACTGCCCCCGACAGTCCTGAAAAGGGATGTTCAATTCCTCAAGCCTGTTAAGGATTAAATTGGACAAACCCAGGCCAGTGGATTGTGGAGCTATGATAAATCCCAAAAAGTGCTCTTTTATTTCTGGTGTTTTGCCCAGAGTGACTGTGCGCACCACAACAGACATTTGTTCCTGGTGACTAACATCAGGTGTACAGTCTAATATGATGGCATAATATTNAATCAGTCATGATTTGGTGGGAGTGTAAATGACCATTAATTCTATAATTGTTTCTAAGGACATGTTGTTTTCATTTAGTTTCCTGATATGCTTTGAAGCCAGGTTATTATTTAATTAATGAAATTAGACGCTAAATGCGGGACTTTTATTTTGAAAGCGCCTCGCTATGTATCAAAAGCATCCGTTGTTGTGTGCGTCTGCGTATTAAAAGTGTGACAGCAAGGTATTTCTACCTCTCACTGAGGACAATGCGCGCTCAAGGCGACGGCACGTTACGCACTGCATTTGTTCTAAATGAATTATGAGCTGCAGCTTCTCAGAGGTTCTTATGAAACCACTGGAGCTGAGCCCGAGATGAGGAACTGCCGTTTGTTTTTAACACGACAGGGTATAAAACAAATATAGCTATCGATCCACCCACCCATCCATCCATCCATCAATCCATCCATCTATCTCCAGGTGTCAGGTTACAGTGACCTCTCTCTACCTGTGCTTTGGGGACATGTATGTTTACAGTCATTAACCACAGAGCTGCTCCTGCTCCAAACTAAATATGTGGCCCTGCAGCTGAGAACTCATGCCCAACATGTTGATCTGTGGTTGAGGGTGAGTACACCTCTCAGGGCCCACGAGCTGAGCTGCGGGTTTCACCAGCTGTGATGCTGTGGACTGCTGGTGAGAGTTGGTGTTAACATTCAGACTGGCACAAATCGCCCCCTCACACACTACGGGGAGGGAGAAAAAATAAAGCCGATGTGCGACTGAGTGAGCCCACCTGCTCTCAATCACAACAAACGGAAACTAGGATTGGGGGGGAGGCTTTGGAAAATGGTGTGCCAGAGTTTTTTGTTTCAGGGTACCCTTGGCATTTTCTGAGGCTGTTTGGTGCAGAGCAGGAACTGGAGCAGTGTAGGGTTAATGTAAATCCCACAAGCAGCTGAAAATAATTTGACCTCTGAGGAGGGAGACAGGGGTTGGTTCCATTGAGAGGATTTTCTCATATCTCTCATTTCTCTCCTACTTCCAAAAGTCCCTTTACAGTGTAAACACAAATAGCAGCATTGCCTATTGTCTGTGTAGTTTAGTGATCTGTCCACTCATATAAAGTGTTAGTTACTTGAGCAACACACCATTCTCTCCCTCTTTCCAGCAGGGGAACATACACTCCTGTGTTTGGTTGTAAACAGGCTGCAATCCTCACTCTTTATCATTGTCATACTACACCCCCTCTACCATTGGGCTCTTTTGCCCTGCACACTTCAGTAATGTGAAGCATGATGATGATCTCAAATGAGGGTAGCGACCTTTAAGAAAGAGACTTGACGGCATTTAACCAGCAACAGTTTTCATGTTGCTGGTTGTTTGCCTTATTATATTTCTATTTCACAAGTTTAGTCAAACCAGCACATCCCTGTTTACAGCTGCATGACTCAGACTACATGATATATGTTGTTACGCCACACCAGTTCACCAGGGGCTGTTTGATTTTTTTTGATTTTTTAGAATAAACCTGACCTGCTTTAACATGCTGACTTCAGCATCCTCAGTTACTCAGTGCAGCACTAGATCTGCTACCTATATTGCAGAGAAGACTTGAAAAAGCTACTCAGGCAAAGTAGAAAAACTTTAGCAACCTTTGCTCGTGTTGTATTTTCCACTGTGGGCAGCAGCTTATATTTCCCTTTTAACCTCAGCTGAAATGTTCAGTCTCTGTCATAATTCTGTCAGAATTATGAAATATTTTCTTTAGGAAAGAGAAAAATCAAATGTTATTGAGCAGGGTTAAAATGTTTTATTCTTAATCAAAGAGTAGTTGATGTTTTGGTATGAAAGATCCTGACCCACTGTAGGATACTGGCACTTAGCCCATTAACACCAATAAGAAATCCCCAGAGCTACTGTCCAGAGCGAGGAGCTCAGTACTGTTGAATGCTGCCATCTAGTGAGGATATAAAGAAAAGTATGAAGTAAGCAATAATGTTTTCAAACGTTTTCAAATAACCCTATGGATTAATTTAAAAAAAAAACCCATGTATTTAACGTAACTTATTTGTGTCACGGTTATGTATTTTCAGTGTTCCTCTCATGTTCCCTTCTGCCTTCCTCTGTGCTCCACCCTCTGATCCTCCTGTGTTGTTCTCTGTCCCTCTCCTGTGTTCCCCTTCCGCTTCAGTTCCTGTTCCTGTCCCACGGTTGCGGGTCTCGCCGGGCTCCGCCTCAGTTCCTGTTCCTGTTCCACGG